TTAATAAATTTAATATAATTAATATTAATATTAGTATTTTTTTAAACCTATTCCTTTATAATTTTAATAATTAAACTTAAAATAATCTTTTAATCCTTAAATTTTTTAACTAATTTTTAATAAATAAACTTGTTGAATCCAAATATAAATTTAATTATCTTATCCTAAGTTATATTAAATTATTTCTTAGAATTTTCTGCAAATTTATTTTTTTAAAATTTTATAAATTTTTTATTATATATATTCAAAATCTTTATTAATATAGGTTTTTTAATTTTTAACTAATTAATATCGTTAGTTTTTTTAGGTTTATTTTTGTTAAAATATTTAATTTTAATAATTTTACTATTTGGCCCTTTTTATTATTTAATTATATTAATATTCACTAATAAATTTTCGAATTAATTACTAATCTCTTTTTAAATAATACCCTTTATATAAACAATACCATTTTTTTTACTATTTTTAGGAATTATTTATACTTAATAAAAAAACCCTAATCAAACATTTTAATATTATTCCCAAATCTTATAACGTTAATTTTCATTACTACATAAATAATCTAATCCTAAAATATTAAATTAATTAAAATAAAATATAATATTATTAACTTTTATTCGATTTTAATTTTTTTAATGTAATATTTAGTTTATTTCTTAATAAATAAACTATTAATATTCTAATCGTAAATATATTTACAAATAATAATATTAATAACCTTTCCTTCTCGTTTAATAACTAATTAAATCGTATTAAGGATATCAATATTCTAAATTAATCCTTATCCGTCTAATCGACCTATAATATATATATTACAAGTCTTATTATAATATAAAAATCCGTCTATAACCATATTATATACTATTAGATATAAAAATATTATATAATATATGTACGTATTTCTTTAAATATTATAAAACCAATATGTATTAAATGGGTAATTAATTGTATATAAAAGAAGAAATTTAATCTAATTATAACTTCCTATGTAATAATTAAAAAATTAAAATTATTTACAGATTTAAATTTAATTAATTTCAATAGATTAATTAAAATATTTTATACATCTGTTATGTATTATTATATAAAGTAATGTTTTTAACGTATTTTTAATAATTACTAATTCCTATTTAATCTACTCCACTATAACTTTTTACATATTAATTTATATAATATTAAAATATTTTATTAGGTTTTTTATAATTAATAAATCTTATAACTTATTATTTTTTATAAAAATTTTAGATTAAGACTAATTACTAACGTTATTTTTTTGTAAATAATTAATAAACTATTATAAAATATCTTTAATATTATTAAAAATTTAAAATTTAACTTTCTTATTATTATAATAATAATTTAATAATTTAACTTCTTTATTAATTTAATTATATATTATATTTTTAATTATATTAAATAATATAATTTAAATATCTATAAAAAAGGAATAAATATAATAAATAATATTTTTTAAGATATTATTATCAATTTATTTTAAAATAATATTAATATAATTATTAGGATTAATATTCTATATTATATTTAATTTAATATCTTAAAAAAGAGTTATATAATTCTTAATTAAATTTATAAGTTTAATAAGGTTATTAAAAACGCCTTTATTTCTAAAATTTCTTAATTTTAACTTATATAATTTATATTAATATAAATTATATATAACAAATTCCTTTTTTAATAAAATTTAAACCTCATCTTAAATAATTACACTATTAATAACTATATCAACCTTTTTACATATATCGCTATTAACAATCTATACTAAAATCTCTTTAATCTGGTTATAATTAATTACCCTATATTAATAAAAAATTTCATTAATATTTTTTAACCATTAAATAATATTTATTTTATTAAATAATTTATTTTTATAATTTTACAAATTTAATAAAATAATTTGGTATAGATAAATTGGTAATCTTTAATCAAAAACCAATACTTATACTATTAACAAAATTGTTAAAGCTAAGGTAATAATTAATATAATAAATATATTCTTAATAAGATCCTAATACACAATCGGTTAAATATTAATTGATTTTCTGTACTAATTAAATATTCCTTTATTAAAATTTTAAACAATAACTTATCGTAATTAATTAATAAACACTACTAATCATATTTGTTTAAAACTTAAAGATTATTTTAAAAATTTACTATCTTAATTATTTTTACTATTAAATAATATAACTAAAATATCCTTATATATTTTAAATTTTAACTAATCAATACAAATAAAATCGGTAATTAATAATGCTTAAAATATATTAATAAATAACAAAATAATATTTTTAAAAAATAATAAATTTAATTATATTTTTAGTTTAAATATTATTTTTTACTATATTAGTTAATTTTTTAAATTAATATTACCAACTTAAGGTTAATTAAAAATATTTTTAAAAAATTAATTAATATTTTATTATAATAAAAATATAAAAAATATTTGGTTTATTAATAATTTACATTAGTAACTTTACCTTTTATTTTTAATATAGGAATAAAAATAATATTTATCTTTATTTATTAAAAGCTAATCGATTTTTTAACTATTGCATAACGTTTTTTTTTTGGCATAAAATTTAACCTATAAATAAATAATTATTAATTTAACTTTTATTCATACCCCTTAAAAACATATTAAAGTAAACAATAACAAGGTTATCATAATAATTTTAATAATATTCTATTTATCCTATTTTAATATCTTAATTAATAGATTTTTTATATATCTAAGATAATAAGTAAGTAGATTTCTTAACATTAGGTCTTATTACTTATTAATTATAAATTATTTATTTTAATAATATAATTATAATACCATATTCCAATTTATATCCTCTTTTTTCCAATATTTAATCATATTCTAACTATAATCCTTAGAAATATTAATTTCATATCCTTTAATAACAATTTTATTATAATTATACATTATCCTTAATCATATATCTTAATATCTTCTAATCTATAAGTCTTATAATACTAATCACTATTCTTAACTATTTAATTTATAAATAACTTTATACTACATAATTACTTTTAATATTTTTTTGGTATATTTCAACTATAACTATTTTATATTAATAAAAATATTTTTAATTAAGTAATATCAATTCGTAAAAAAATTTTTATAATAGTTTAATAATAATTTATCTTAAATACCCAATAACTTTCAAGATTTTTATAATCCTTTTGTTTTTTTATAAATCTTTTTAATAGGTATTCAAAATTAGTTTCTCGACTCTTAAAACCATTCTCACTAATTAATACTCAATAGTCCTTTTAAGATTAAGATTACAAGTTTAAATCCTATAATAATTACTATTAAACAGGAATTAATATCTCTTGTAAAGTATAGTATATCATTTTAACGTCTAAATCCTTATAAAAGACCTTAAACAGCTAATGATAACATTATATTTTAAAAGAATTATAAGGATCTATTAATTGGATAAGATATATATGATAAATACGTAAAATAAAACTATAAGCTATAAATATAAGAAAATAACAAATATATCTATATTAAATACATAATTAAATAGTAATAATCGTAACTATTTAATCAAAAGAATACAACAAATATTAAACTTTTATATGGTTTATAACTTAAGATTACATAATAATATCCTTGTTCTTAGCGATGTGGCACCACACCAATTTAACATATTATATATATAACTATATATTTAAATATAAAAAATATAAATTTAAAAACATATTATACATATAACCCTATATTTATTATAGAAAATATATATAACTTAAATATATATTTAACTAATTAATGTTTTTTTAATATATTCATTGGAAAGGATTTCAGAGATATGATATAATAACTATAAGCATTTTCAAGGACCCCCCCCTCGCGCTAAGGTACCTACCTACCTAGGTAGGTATTCAAGCATTGTAGCGTCATCGGGCCGGGCTACCTGGCAGCTGCAGGGACTAGGCGCCACCCAATGGCCCTAAGCGGATTCCACCACATGCCTGTGTCTTGAATGCGACTGACCACTAGCTTTACCTACTACCTGCTACAGGTCTCTGGGATGATAATTAGTAGCGCGGCGCTAAGTGGGTAGTTTAACCAAACATAGCTAGTAAGTATCCTTACATATAGATTTGTATATAATAGTACAAAACGTTAATGTTTTTTAGAACCGAAAGATTGTTCCCGAATATTTATGGTAGGTTTGGATAAAATACTGCTATGAATAGTTAATCTATCCACTGATATTTTGTACCTTACATATAAATTTATATGTGAAGTTACCTGCTAGCTATACTTGGTTAAACCTCTCCACTTAGCGCCGCGCTACTAATTATCATCCCAGAGACCTGTACCTGCCCCTACCTGCAGCTCCAATCCGTGCCATGTATGTACACGATACAAAATCCGTACACGGACTACATAATAATCGCTTATAATCATTGATAAATTATACGTATCTGTGTGATTTTACGTCATGCGCCATCTCCGCCCTTGCATCAACGTCAGTACTATATACTTTAGGGAGGTATGTGCATATATTTGGAGTATTAGGTTGTTACATGTATTGGAACATGTATTGGAGATGCGCTCGCGCCGTAATGGGCAGAATGGGCAGAATGGGCAGAATGGGCCACCGCAATGGACCGCAATGGACCGCAATGGACCGCAAATACTTACCTTAAATTGAATCTTAAAACTTCTGTCGTTATTTTTCCCTCACGAGGATCCTCGCCAAGCCTACCTGCACTCCGCATTCTTTACATAACGTCTACTCGGTTCCTCTGTGAATTATACAATTTGAACCCATTACGCTGGAGTGAAAATGTCTAATTGCAAACTTCACGATTCGTCTACGACACTATGACCGAGACCCGCCTATGACATAGACCTGCGCATAATCCAATAACTACCTAAGGTTATAGATTTACACATTTACACATTTACACATTTACACACATACACATATACACATATACGACCGATAGCTACCTAAGGGAACTCGTCTAGCTACTAGGTACGTTTAACAATTACTCCCCCCGGAATATTATCAAGGCTAAATATAGGTCTCTTTTAAATAGAAGCAGGTCAAGAACTTATATCTATTCTATATCTGGTCAAGAGTACGAAATACAGAAGAAGAAGGAGAAGAAGAATAATAATAACATTCTCTCTACCTGACAAGCCAAGCCCAGCCGAGCCTAACAGATAGCTGCGATGGGCCGCCCTCCAGCTTATATATTCATAATTAGGTTTGTGTTTTACAGAATATTGTCGCAGAATATTGTCGCAGAATATTATCCACCTACAAGATTCCAACCCTCAACTTGAAGCTAACCCATATAAATCTAACATCTAGGCATGGGAAACGCCTCGACGCCGCCGAGAAGCAATGGCACCTATCCTCCCCAACCCCCTATGACCCGCCCCTAACATACGGAGGATGGTTACAATCTAAGACTGTAGGAGCAAGGATCGCATCTATTTTGCAAGAGAGGGACGCAGAAGACGAGGCTATCGCTGCCAACCATAAAACCGACAACACGGTTGCCAAACCCAAGAAGCGCCGCTACAAGATCGTAATACATAGCTCGCCTTTTCTTCGATGTGTCCAAACATCCATTGCTATAGCTGCTGGCCTCGCCTCTAATCCATATTTACCCACTCCTACAGAAAGGTCTCCCTCTCCGCGAAGTTCACATGTGTCTCCCTTAAGTTCGCCCCCGGTACGGTCCCATACGGCTACCCCACCACCTGCGAACTTGTCCCACGATCCATCAAAGGCCAGTCGAGCAGAGAGGTCTGTTTTACGACTTGATGCTTTCCTCGGAGAATGGTTATCCCCTGACTATTTTGAGCACATTACGCCGCCGCCTAGGTCAAGTCTTATGCTAGCAACAGCAAAAGCTGAGTTGTTGCGCCCCGAGAACCATAACGAATACTCTCACTTTCACACTCGCCATACACCAAGTTCTTCATCGCAATTGTGGAATGCTTCTAGTCGTGGGAGCCACTTAGCTTCCTCTACCACCCCCGAATCCGATACCACCTCCAGTCTCGATAACCTGTCCTCTTTGAAAGGCAGTTTGCCGAGACACAGAAGTGACTCGACCGGACACGTCGACCCGAGGATAGCATACAAGGTATCTTCGTCCGACCCTACGTTGAACCCGGGATATATCAGCCCAACTCCTTCTTATGCTCTTTCAACTTCCGAGCCCATTCCACGGGGTTATGTGGCGCATGCTCGCGATGCTTGTGTCGACGTCGACTACCAGTGGGACTCTAGTAGAGACAACATTGGCTGGGGAAATGGAGGTACACTGCCTGAAGAGTGGGCGGAAATGCACCAGAGGTTCAGGAAGGGCCTGAAGCGATTAGTCGAATGGTACAGCACAACGAAGAATCCCGCCGAAATGGTGACTAAAACTTCGGGCCCGAGATCCCCTAAGTTTTCGCAAAAGGGGAGCAACACCAACGGTCGATCTACTGAAGATGGTGATGATGTTGAAGTAGAAAATGTCGTCATTCTTGTTTCGCATGGCGCCGGTTGCAATGCTCTCATAGGTGCCATCACGCAGCAGCCAGTTCTTATCGACGTTGGAATGTCATCTATCACAGTGGCGCAACGGAAACCAGATTTTGACGACGATGTCGGTACTCGTATTTACGGAGAGCCTGCTTCTTCGCTCGAAGAGCCTCTATTAGCCAAGCAGGCTTCATTGCCCGATATGTTTGAATTGAGATTGTTCGCCAACACAGAACATCTTTCATCAATCACTCCGCCCGGTATCAGTCGTTCTCTTTCAGCTGCAAGCCAGAATGGGCGTGGTCGAAATGCCAACGGGTTCCCTTCTGCACTAAAAGAAGTCAGCCTTAGCACCTCATTGTATGGAAGCCAGGCACCTCTAAGCCGTAGTAACTCGGTAAATGCCTCGCTCGGTAGCATGCGAAGGGGGTCGCCAGTACCAGCGACATCAGTTCGACAACATTTGCCCAATACGACGGGCGCCGGAGGCATAAACGTTGGTAATAACATCTCCAGCGTCTCTTCTACCCGACAAGATCCCATAGCTTCAGTGGGGTTATGGGAACCATCAAACCAGGGCGATGCTTTATCAGAGAAACAAGCGGAGACGCCACCCGTACCGAATATTGACCACCAGGCCGAAGCGACAAAGAAAAATGAGGACGCTCCCACGGGAATACAAGAGGCTGACTCCCAACCCGATGGCGCCGGACTTCCAACTTCAATGAAGAAGACCGTCTCAAAAACGGAATCCGAATCCTCGCATGGTGAAAGGCATGACCAATTCGATGAAGATCTTGCACCGCGCCTCTGGGCCGGAGCCAGCACCAGCGGCCTATGGGGGGCGCCTCGACCTCCGGGAGAGGCCGAAACAATTCGGGATTTCACTTCAACGAAGCGAAGGTGGTCCGTCAACGAGCAGTAAAAATTATATCATAACAGCAGCCAGAGTGACCAAATCACAAGTTATCTGGCCCACTCCACTCACCAAATCAACGTGCTTTGCTGTACGCTACCTTTGTTATCGAGGGGAGTTTATACTAATGCGGTTGTCGACATTAGCATTAGCATATTCTGGGAAGTTCTTATTTTCGGGGTGTCGAGGCAGAAGAGACGCGGAATAGATAATCTCTAATCCTAATCCCCCTTATACCTAGCGAGCCTCTCTATTTCTCTTGCTCCCATTTTGCTGTTTTTGAAGAAGATACCTCTTGACAAATCGATTTTGGCATGACCTAGGGAATAATCAGGGGATTGAAGGGACCAAGTTTGAATTGCAGTGGTAGTCTATAGGCTAGATTAGGTGTTTACTAGCCATTAGTCGTCAATGAATGAATGGATGGATGCCAACCTGGAATATTGTTGAACAAGGAATTATTTGAAAACGAGTTGTGAAGGGGGCATAACACTATCTAGTGAGTATCTTCATACTTTAAGAACTAGACCCGATGATTCAGATCGTCGGGATAGCAAACGGTAATAATCGTATGTCTAAGTGATACGAGCACGTAGTGCCTAGCCTTGGATCCCGGGAGGTTTTCGACCTGCATGCGCCTCCCCGTCTCATCACACAGCATAGACACCGACTGGTCCATAGATCAATCACGTCGAAAAGGTACAGAAGTAAGCGACCATCTAGTATAGACGAGATACAACAGAGCGGGGTTGGCGTTGGACATGCCACGCGGGTAGCCGGCAACAAAACAAGTGCGGCTGTAACTTATATAAGGTGTAAGCTCGTCGCACCCGGGGCCCCTTTGCAATATTTATGTATGTATAGAACTAGGTATAGCATCGTTTTGAGGTTTGGAAATATCATTTCTAGCCATAGGGGCGACATGTCTAACCTAGGTCAACATGATCTAGACAATACTGAATCCATTGACGACCCGCCTCCTATATACAAACGCCTCGGATATGCAGTTCAGCTCCATACTCCTAATGCTCGTACGCGGATAACTTTCCTCCTCTAGGATGAGATCCAATCTAAAACGTATCGTCTATGCTCCCGTTGTTTCCACGAGCTATGCCGGAAGACTCTCTTCTCGTCCCAATGGTTCAGCAGCTCCTCCTAGCTCACCTTCGTGAATTAGACTATACTATGAGATGGACATCTCATCCTCTCTAATCATCTTCCACAACCAAGTCCAATAATCTTGCGACGTGAGACTAAGTCGTCCTCCTTCTCTCAACCAAAGGCCTTCCTCATAGCTTGATGCGCTAACTCGACGCCCAAAAATGTGGCCGCGTTAGCCGGCACCGCCCTCGCAAGCGCCGGCCCGAAACCCGGGAAGAAGGCCTTCACGCCACCCCTGCCGTACAACTCTCGAATAACACCACCGATAGTCACGTTGCCTTCGGCAGTCTGCAGCCGACTCTTGACAGTATCGACGGGGAATACAGGGATCCACATGGCCACGCCCGCCGCGCCTCCCGCCGCCGTAATAGCCATCAGACTCAACTCGCCGCTGGGTTTTCCAGTCGCCGGATCGCGCGGCGTCAGACGGCGCTTGATATACTCGTACGCGGCAAAGTAAGCCGCAGAGCCAGGGCCGTCGCGGGCAAGCGTAGCCGCGCTGCCGCGGAAGACGGAGCGCACGCCGCCTTCGCGGTAGAGCTGGCGCACGACGTCGAGGCCGCCTTTGTACTTGGGCTCTTCGCCGGGTTTCAGGCGCTGGCCTTGGACTTGCAGGATGACCTTGACGCGCTCGAAGGGCGCGGTGATGGCGGTCATAGGGATAGCGGAGAAGAAGCCCGCTGCGCTGATCTGGCCGATAGACAGGGCGCCGGTGGGGGATGGGGGGGAGAAGGATGTTACGATTTGCTTGCCGAGATCGTAGCCCCAGAAGGATACAGCAACTGGGAGTTGGTCGGGTTAGTTTTGCGCATTTTCTACTTATTTATGATTGCGAATAGTGGAAGGGGGAGGAGGAAGAAAGGGAAGAACATACACATAGGTGTAACACCGACCAACGGCGCACTCACACCAGCATATAACCCCCTTTTCAACCCATCCCGAGCAACGCTCTTCCTCACGACATCAATAGCCGAAGAATACACGCCCTTATCCGCAGTCTGCAAGCGCACCTTGACCAAATCGAACGGATGGCCAACAACGACGGCGCATACGCCGCCGAAACCGCCAGCAGCAAAGGACCGTAGCTGCGACGAGACGCTAGACGCAGCGGCTTGCGCCTCGGCTTTCAGCTCCGTCTTGAGCTCTTCCTTGGTCTCGGGAATGTGCGGCAGGTGGTCGGCGACTTGGACCGGGAGCGACGAGTGCAGCTTCTCGTTGATGCCGGCGTGCTTCTCGTTCGACGACATGGCGACAGCGCTTGGTTTACTCCGGTTTATCCCGTCTACCAACGCGGTCCCAGTTTCTCTCGAGACTATCCGGGTACCTATCGAATACCTAAGTCGGAGTGTAAACTGTGCTATTGCGCAAATTCGCGCACTCGGTCGAATTACACGATAGCTCTCTCTGCCGTCTAGACAAGCTCAAATCCGAACAACGAAAAAGCTGTCAACGTCTTTGCGCCCAAGTTACACGCTCAACGCAGCGGCGGAAGTCCGAGGATAGATAGATACAACAAAAAAAAAAAGGAAATAGTCAGTCACACGAGGGAATTAGCTTTATCGAAAAAAAGAAGCAAGCAGAGTCGGCAATAGAAAGCCGAGCCAACGTCAGAGATTAGATACTTGTGCCTCGGCAGAGACCAAAATAAAATCGAAGGGGTTCCAAAGTACCGGGTATGGTACATGTATTTACATACCTTAGGTAGGTACATATATGTATGTATAAGCTTGCGAGGTACCCGCTTTCGCTAACCTTAAGCCCTGGAGTGCATCGTATTGAAATATTAGACCGAGATCAGATCAGATAACATCTCGTCGTACATATATGATATACCAACGGTGCATCAAGCCATCTAACATATCATATAACTACCTGTTATAATAAATAGCCACAGAGTATCGATATTCTACGATAGTTACATCAAGAACTAAAATCCATAAGCCGAATAATGAATATACCTAGGTACCTAAGGTATTGTGCCTCGGCCAAGTCGGCTTAATGGATGAAAGTGCCCTTTACGTAACTATCATCGAGGTGCTGGATGGGCTATGTAAGAAATACCCCGCCAAAAGTCTGGTCCCGCAAGAGCGCAATTAGGTCTCACGTACAGATGCATGTACATGTACATGTACATGTACACAGCTCAATCTGCGATGCATACTTCTCTCAATATAACAGACGAACACCCGTCGCCTATAACACGTATTTACCGGCCACAGCACACAACCTTTACATATATATGTGTCTTTACATATGTGTTACCAAACCCAGAACAAGGACCATTAATAGCTCGGCCCGCCAAATTAGGTGCCGGTAGAAGCCGTCGTTCCTGACCCGACCATGCTCCGTGCAGTACGTACCTAAGACGATACGTCATAATCATATGCCAAAGCGCTGCAGAAATAGGCCTGCAATAAATGCACGTGTAAATTGTTCAGAAATATAATATAGACGTTCACTATCCGGAAAGTATATACAGAACACCCAGAGAAGCGTCAAGATGAACATATAATGGGGTAACGGGTATACTCATTCCTTATTTCCCTCTATTCCGCTTTTATTTTCGATCTCCTTATCGACTTTAAAGTCTCTCCAATCACACCCGCGCTGTCCAACAAAAAGATATCACCGATCGTCGAACGCCGCAATGCGCAACTCCGGGGAAAGGGAACAACAAGCTTACCCACAATACTCCGCATCTACCCCAGTCCGTGGGTAGCTCAAGCAAGATAGAACGCCCCTAGTACCAATCATTACAGCGCCTCAATACCCGCCTAGCCCCTTAGATGTTATAGCGTTGACCCGACCCATCCCGCACCAACATGTCGCGTCCCCCTCTCTCTCCATCTGTATCGTGAGGTCGATCCCGTGTTTGCCAAGGTAGCTCTGAACCCTATCTCGAACATCCTCCAAGTCCGCACCTCGAACTGCGGCCACGTGAATCACCCCCAAGAGCCTACCTCCCGACTCGCTGCTTGCCCCGTCATCCACCCAGAATTTCGGTACAGAATACGAGGCAACGCCTCGCTGACTTGTGATCTCAGACAGCGCATTTCGAAGATTGTACTCAGTATCCGCTGGGATTGTCAGCAGTAAGCGCTGAGCTGATGATTTTACCAAGGGTATCGCCGTGATGAGGATTAAGTACGCAATTAAGAAGGACGCTAGAGGATCCCAACCAGACCATGGAACAAGGTAGGTCAAAACTGTCGATATGATCACCGAGGCACTTCCAAGAGTGTCTGCGAGAATATGCAAATAGATTCCGTGCATATTTTCGTTCTCGTGGCTATGAGAATGAGCATGTCCATGACCGTGACTATGACTGTGGTTGTGGTTATGGCCGTTATCATGCTCGTGGTGTGATTTACAGTCGTGATCATGATCTTTGCCATGACTGTGGCTATGGCTATGACCATGAGAATGACCATGGTCGTGCGAATGGCCATGACTATGACCGTGAGAACCGAAGGCAAAGATGCCTAACAGATTAACCACCAGTCCCAAGGTACTAACAATGAAGAGCTCTCGAAGTCTCTTGGTTTCTCGGCCCTCTAGTAGTCTCTCAAATCCTTCGAACATGATTTCGAGACTGATGAGTCTAGGGAAACTATCAGCTAAAGAATTCAGCTAATGAGGATTAGGACTTACATCAAAAAGACTCCGTTTGCAAACCCACTCAGTGTCTCGATCTTTCCGAAACCGTAAGGAAACCTCTCGCTAGGCGGCCATTTACTCATAACCGACGCAAAAAGTCCTACCGCTAAAGCCACACAGTCGAAAAACATGTGTATGCTGTCACTGAGAAGCCCCAGAGAGTCGGTCAGATACCCATAAACGGCCTGGACGCCCATAAACGTGAAGTTAACTCTATAAACAGTAAGGTTAGTGAGACACCCAAGAAAGGAGAATAGATATAGTCCAAGTCATACCCCATAAAATAGAAAATTCGGCGCGAATCTTTTTCTGTCATGATGGCGTGGATCAAGGGCCACTTCGAGGTAAAGGGAAGCAATAAAGCCGTAAATTTTGAGTAAGTTGCTTCATGACCGCCATGGGCATGGTCGTGTATGACAGTGGCAGTAGGTGCTCTATAGCTCGGGGTCTTTGGCGCGTCCATCATGTCATTTTTCTCCGGATTAGGCAGTTCTTCAGTATTCGGTCTCAGAGGTGACGGTCGGTTTTCTCGTCTTTGTAGTGGCACGAAAGAGTTTGCTCGATACTGTGTCATATTCTGCCGGGCATGTACCTGAGCATCAGGGTCGATATGGTCGTGACTATGATCATGATCATGGTTGTGGCCGTGTTCGTGTTCGTGGCCATGGTCATGGTCATGGTCATGATCATGGCTATGGTTGAAGTCGGCTCTAAGGCCTTGGCCCTGAGGGTAGGCCTGCAAGGAACGAGTTGATCTCGAGTGGCTGAAAGACGAGGGAGAATGAGGATGAGAGTGGGAGTGAGAATGGCCATGGTTATGCGGCAAAGGAGGTTGCGGTAGGGCGTAGGAGGATGCCATGATGTCGTCCAATAGTCCAATTAATTCGGGGTATCTGTTTGCCTATGTAGCTAGCAGTGACGATGTTTAGAGTCTCGAAGACTCTCTTCGATTTCCAACTTTTATCGCATGTGTATGGGATTATTAGTGCATAAATGTGAATAAGCGTGTTAACCGGCGATCTCTAACGAGTCGAGCCAGTCGAATACCTTGGCGGTGATGATCAATGTTGGTCGGTGCTGAATCGGTATATCTGTATATCTGGCTGTTGGCTAGATGGGGCAATTATTGATTGCGTTCGTACGCGTCGGCAGCGATTGAGCCTCGAACGGGGAATGATTAATTTAAATATCTACCTAGGTAGTTTAAGAGTGAGTGTGAGGGTACAACACGATCTTAATTGACAAGACTAAAAAGCAATCCAAAGAGAACAAGCAAATTGTGGCATCTTGTATTGATAAAAGAGCGGAGGAGAAAAAGAGAGCGACGACGTCGAAGAGGAGGAAAGATCCATTGTAAACCCCCTGTTCCTGAATGCGGTTCCTATGTAAATCTTTCTCTTTCCAATCTAGCGCCAGCCCGCAATCTATGATAGCCTGCAAGTACTCCACGTTATTACTAGTACCATGTACTAATCGATATAGTCTTTTCGCCGAGTCGTCAGGCACTATTGCAGTACTATTACAGTAAGATTACTACATACATGTACCTACCTAACTACCTAACCTAGGCTTTTAAGGGTTTGCCAGGTACCCCATCTTTAAAGTTTACGTGCCTGAGGTCCCTATCAGATGGAGGTACCGAAAGTTTACCTATTAGTCAATAAGCCAGATTCATCCAATTTCTCAACCTTAAAAATGACTTCCCATATGTAGTTAATGTTGCTGTAGCTTTACAACTTTACAACTTTACAACTTTACAGGCTGTAAGGCTCAAAACATACACTTGGCAATAAACCCTGCATCAAACACCACCACGCCAAAACATTAATATCGCCGCCGCCAATCTAAGTGGTCAAGGTCATAATTACCTAACAGCTATTTTCATTTTGAGACATGTTCTGTCCATGCTGTTCATCTGCGCGCAGAGTCGGGACAGGTCACAGAAGAGAACATACGAAGACACATTTTAGATAAGACCGTCGTCGTATAGCTTCAAGCTTAGGTATCTACAAGCTTACCTACAACACTATCCTCGTAGTAAGCTATATGATACTCACGGTTTATAAACAAACATATTTACTCCGATATCCCCGCCTTACTATTCTGAAATGGCATACCTCGCCTTCGTACTGGCATTTACCGCTTTCGGATCGTTACTTGGCCTCGTGGTAGTTCTAACTATGCTACCTTCACGTTACGTTAAGATCTCCCCGGCATCTAAGGAGTCTGTTTCTGTTCAAGTCCTAGTTCTTGGAGACATCGGCCGAAGCCCGCGCATGCAATACCATGCTTTAAGTGTTGCTAGACATGGCGGAAGGGTTGATCTGATTGGCTATCATGGTATCTTTGTTTCTCTTCTTTTGTCTCTTCTCATGTTTCTCTTCTCAGCTTGACAAGTAATCTGTACTAAGTCATTGTATAGAGTCGACCCCTCATCCCGATCTTCTCAGCAATCCTAGGGTCAAGATCTATCCATTAGCACCTCCACCGAGTGTGATCAGGTCCAGTTCAATTCCTTTTATCGTCTCGGGGCCTTTGAAAGTGCTATGGCAAATTTGGACTCTTATTCGAGTTCTTGGTTACCAAACACCACCCGCAAGATGGATCATAGTTCAGGTACTGTACATTCATGATCTTTATACGGGATGTTTTTTAATATTCGTCCTAGAACCCTCCATCTATTCCAACTTTAGCTATTGCCCTTTTCATTTCTATCTTGCGCAACACGCATCTTATAATTGATTGGCACAACTATGGCTGGACGATCCTTGCCGGGACCAAGGGACGCAATCACCCTTTCGTGGAAATTTCGAAAGCCTACGAGTGCGCGTTAGCTCAAGCAGCACCTACCGCTAATATCACTGTTACTCATGCGATGAAGCGGCAGTTGGAAAAGGCGCCTTATAGCGTTAAGGCGCCAATTCTTGTCCTTCACGACCGGCCAGCCTCCTTATTTCAGCCTCTGGAGTCTTCAGTAGATCGCAGGGACTTTCTAGAAAAGTTACCAGAAACTAGGGAATTCGCTTCAAACATTCTAGCAGGACAGACGAAGCTTATAGTAAGCAGTACATCTTGGACACCGGATGAGGATTTCTCCCTCCTGCTCGATGCCCTAGTTACATACGCTAAGGACGAGTCTGCGCATCCTATCATCGCCATCATTACAGGGCGCGGGCCCCAAAAAGCGGCTTATGAAGAGAAAATCCAGAACCTACTAGAGGCGGGAAAACTACCCAATATTCGCATACTAACCGCGTGGCTAACGATGGAGGATTATGCCAAGCTCCTGAGTTGTGCTGACCTCGGGATATGTCTTCACATGTCTAGCTCCGGCGTTGACTTGCCCATGAAAGTTGTAGATATGTTTGGGTCTGGGCTACCAGTTGCTGCGTACTCTGGATATGAGAGCTTCAGCGAATTAGTCAAGGAGGGTATAAATGGATGCGGTTTTGAGACAGCAGACGAGCTAGCGACAACTTTAACACGATTATTGGGGGAAGAAGGGTCACGCGAACTCCAGACGCTACGTAGAGGAGCCAAGAACGAGAGTGATCTACGGTGGGATGAGGAATGGGATCGAGTTCTGGCCCGTGTATTAGGGCTCATGGACTAAGAGACGGCAATAGTTAAGAGGGACTGCTCGTTACGAACTACGAAAATCGACGAATTGAATTCAAATACGTATTTGATACGTAACACCTATACCCCTTCTCGAATGCTCCGAAGTCAGCTATGCTAGTGTCTAAAAAGACGCCATTCAACACAAGATGGTACTCCTGGGATAGCGTCCCGGTTTCCTCTTTTAGTCGAGAGATATTTATCGGTATAGAAGTTCGATTGCCGATATGCGGCTGTGAATCCTATTCATTCACCTGCCCTGCCTACCTAATCCTCGCCTAGGCTCTCCCTAACGCACTTCCTTACCCGCTTCCTAAACTCCTTCGGGCCACCTTCTCGCTCGGCGCGCAACAGATTGGCGGCATCCAAATTGGCGGGACTCTCGTCGTTAGGCTCATTGAAGAGGCTGAGAACGCTTAGCAGTATCGTCTCGGGGGTCTGGACGGGACTCCAGCGCTCGGCGACGCTCTCGTAGCCGTACTTGTCTTCCTCGGGTGGGTGCAAGATGGATATGCAGAGCTCGCCATTGGGGTAGATGTTGGGGTGGAACGGAACCGGGTTGTGGAAGACAATCTGAGGAGGCAGGTGAGGATATTCGGGTGGGAAGGTCATAAGGGCGCGGAAATAGGCACCTGTGTTTCTCTATGCGTTAGTCATGCCAGATCTCATGGTCGGTCTAACTCCATGCGCGCGACAAGGACGGTTATGATTTAGGAGAGAGGGGTGTTAAGACATACCACCGTAATACTTGCACTCATCATTGATCATAAGAATAACTTCCCATTCGAAGACATTGCTTTCCTTAGCTAGGCCTACTGAAATACCTGATAGGTCAGATGACGTATGCATCTCCTTGAGCTGTCGCTGCAAGAGTCGAGCGGCTCCCGTGGTCTGCGCCGACGATGCTGACATTGTGGAGGTGGAGGTGGAGGTGGAGGTGGAGGTGGAGGTGGAGGTGGAGGTGGAGGTGGAGGTGGAGGTGGAGGTGGAGGTGGAGGTGGAGGTGGAGGTGGCGTGTTACAGCAGTTGGTTGACGGAAGATGACGAGATGAAATAAGGTAAATATGCCTATGTATTTTGGGTATTGTATAAGGGTATTGTATCCTTAAGGCTTAGTATTTGTAAATTGTCAATGCAAGGCAGATGGGTAATCTTATACGCAAGACGTAAGCCGGGCAGGTTCGAATTGCAAGATCCGCCACGAGGTTGCTGGATGGGTCGGCGACGCGGATATCTAATGTTATGTACCTTTGAGTAAGCTTAATGTTACTCGGGCGTGGGGTGTTAATGTGTTAACTGTTAACGGAGGGTGAAACGGACGTGAAAGATTGGATCTATCGAGTCCGGCGCGGAAGTCCTGGAATCGTATAATCGATGGTGGGGTAGCTTATGTACGAAGTTATATATGTAAGGATTAGATGCAGGTATGAAGGGATATGCGCAGGGATAAAGGATATGTATGTATGTATTAGGTAGGAGTATGGCATTGAATTACAGGACAATTTGTTGTGTTCTTACTTTTTGTCCGTCCGGACTTTAATTTTTATATACATGTACGTAAAGATACCTATGAAGTCCTATGTCACGTATAGTATAAGTACTTAACTAAGTCAATTAATTCAGGTAACCTTACCAGGTAGGTGTTATTGTACGTACCTAGGTACCTAAGAACGTAAATACAAGGAGTAAAGCAGCATTAATAAAGACAAGTGAAGGTAACTAAGTTTGAGATACAGAAGTGAATCAAGTTATTATAATAAATTAAGAGTTGGAACCTGTTCAAAACAACTCCTGCAAGGGCGGGAAAATGCAGACAGGTTTGTACAACAGAACAAGAGGTAGCAGTTACATGTAGGTAGGTACCTGTTATGTACATGTAACAGCAGTCTAATAAAGTATCTTCGTTCTGGTGATACTAGCTTGATACCTCTTATATGTACCTACATATATAAGTGTGTATAGACCAAACTCGCCCAAGAAGCACCTTACAGCCTGTGACTACCAGTTTCTACCACAGGTAAACAGGGCATTAATACGAAATCAGCCCCAAATATACACATGGCCATAAGAATCAAACCAGGACACCGCCCAAGCAACCCAAACTTGGATCAAACCAAACGCCATATCTGATGCACCGTTGACGCCATCCCTCGCTTATATTTCAATATAACTATCGTTCCCGGAACGTTTCTCATGATCCCGCCACCAGGCTACTTCTTCTTCTTCGACGTCCCAAACCCCGTAATCCCCATCGCAGCCATCATATCATCCTCGTCATGCTCTCCTTCGATCCGCACATCGTCGCCGTACTCGGTCTTAATCTTCTCCTGCGCATCTTGAGCTGCCTTCTTCTTCGCTAGCTCCTCCTGTCTCTTAAGCCGCCTCGCCTCCCTCTCCTTAGTCGCCTCCTCCTCGCGCATTTCCAAGCGCTCCTTCAGCGTCGTCACGCTTGCTTTCTTCTGCTCTTGCAGCCGCTCCCATACCTCCGTGATGCGCTGGTGGACTTCTTCTGCGCTCGCCTTTTTGACCTCGCCTGTCTCGCCGATGTTCCGTAGATGCTGCATGCTGTTCACGTGCTCGACCCATTGCATGTTGTCCTTGAACGTGAGGTCGCAGGCGCTGCAGTAGAACCCGGCGCCGCGGCCCCGTTTGCCCTGGCCCGCGCCCGCCGGGACTAATGTCGTCTTGCCCACGTTGGCCTCGAGGTCGATTATATCGCGCCGCGCCCGCGTGAGCGTCTCGTCGCCCGTCAGAGGCTTGTAGTACTTTTTGCCGGCCATCTTTGCCTCATATCGCGCCTTTGACTCTTCTTTGTCGGCTGCCTCTCGTACCTTGGCTTTCTGCGCGTACTCGTCTAGGTCGTAGCTCCGCCGGAAGGACGTGTCGTCGGCTGGCGTGCCGTACGCCGAGCCCTTCTTATCGGCCATGTTGATAGTATTTGAGTATTTGAGATTGGTGTATTTTAGTCGGTTCGAAGAGTGTGTAGCGTAGAAAGTAGGCCTTCTTAAGTGTTAACGTGTAGAATTGAAGTTGTAAATACACGACTTTATTTGCGATTGACGCGATAAAGTAATCTAGGTAGCATTTAAATGCGGTAAGACAAGACTACCCCATTGTGGAATAATCGGCGTTCTACATTAGTGGGTACCTAAGTATGTACCTACCTAGGTACCTAGGTATGTAGTTCACTACCCCTGCTGGCCTAGCCGTCCTATATGGACCTAACAATACATATGTACATAGGGAAAACATGCTTAATCGGTTACCCCTCCATTTATGACAATAAACATCTTAAGTAAAACTTCCTCCCCCACTTCATCTTCGACTTCTGCGGGATCTCGAGCATCGAGCTTTTCTCTATAAGACCTGAGTTAGCTTGGTTCGTGATATTACAATGCTCTACCTCGTGGGACTAGGTCTCTCCGATGAGACAGATATAACAGTCAAAGGCCTCGAAATCGTTAAAAAGGCATCCCGTGTCTACCTCGAAGCTTACACGAGCATTCTCCTAGTAGATCAGTCCGTCTTGGTAGGCTATCCTTCTTCTCGCGCGGTATCGTCTTTTCTCATTCAGCTAACGCTAATCGCGCAGTAGGAGAACTACTATGGCCGATCCATCGTAGTCGCAGATCGCGAGATGGTCGAGTCGAATAGCGAAGAAATCCTCCGCGATGCGCATACTGAAGATGTCGCATTTCTAGTAGTTGGTGATCCTTTCGGGTATGAGACAGCCGCCCGAGAAATCCAATGAAGAGGAGTCATATCTTTTTAAGGGTAGTTATAGAAGAGACGAACATAAGCTGACTCTTTTATATAGCGCGACTACGCATACTGACCTCGTTCTTCGAGCGCGCGAGCTTTCAATCCCTGTCCAGACGGTACCAAATGCTTCCATAATGTCAGGGATAGGAGCTACGGGGCTTCAGCTATACAACTTTGGCCAGACGGTATCTATGGTATTCTTCCTAGATAATTGGCGCCCCGCTTCCTTTTACGACCGCATCAAGGAGAATCGATCCATCGGGCTTCATACACTCGTGCTATTAGATATCAAAGTCAAGGAGCAGAGCTTGGAAAACATGGCACGAGGAAGAAAGATATACGAACCCCCTAGATATATGACAGTCGGGCAATGCGCGCAGCAGATGCTTGAGATCGAAGAAGAAAAGAAGGAGGGTGTTTACGGACCGGAGAGCCTAGCTATCGGCGCCGCGAGGGTTGGCGGCAGAGGAGAGAAGTTTGTTGCTGGAACACTAAAGCAGCTCTGCGATGCAGATGAAGCGCTCGGGCCGCCGCTACATAGTTTAGTATTATTGGGCAAAAGGGCACACGAGCTAGAGAGGGATTATGCGCGCGAGTTTGCGGTCGATAAGGAGACGTGGGATACGATTTGGATTAGAGATTACGGTCAGCAATGAAGAAGGTCGTCGCTAATAATTATAAATCCGCCTATATCTTTCACCTTCTGGTTTGATTTATTTCATGTCATTTCTTAGTACTAAGTCCCGTCCCGCCTTCACTAATATCGCAAGCTGCTTATACCTATATAGCTACCTATATACTCTTTAGTATTTTGCGATACTTACCTAATTAAATTACAGTAATTTCACTTATTAATAAATGCAAAATCTTAGCTAGGTATTATATGTTGTGTGATGCGATACATCAGACTTTATCGTCGATAATATTTCTTGCTAGCAAGGAATTCGTTTGATGACGTCAAGAGCCACAAGAGCTACAATCAACAATTTCCTTTATCTTAACTCAAGACTATTGCAGGTAAAAGCAATTGATAAAAGGTATTTTCAAGCTGATATAAACTCGTTCTAACCTTTCAACTACGTAATATATCATTGATCGATTAGGGTAAGATAATGCGTAGGTACCTACGTTAAGCAGCTAAGCAATAAGGTCGGTATTACCAAATCTAGTAGCCCTTAATGTAATATGGGCTAATCCATGAGCATATGTAGGTATTTTTGTACATGTGAGCTTTAAATAGAAGCAAGCCTCCAAATTAGACCACGGTTCGAGGAACCGAACTGGTCCAGGGGGTAGGTAACCTGTGTTACAAAATACATAGTAAAAGCTGCTCAAATCTTCGGCATGGATTATGTAGTTATGTAGTTCTGCGATGTCGTACCTAATGCAAAGGTTAGAGATGTTAACGGAAATAGCTACCTACCTACCTACCTACCTACCTACCTAGAGGAGCGGGCAGGTAAGAACCTTGTACTCACCTCCTACATTGGTAGGTACCTATATTCCTCCTTCCGTCCAGCAATTGTAATGTAGAGGAACATGAATAGATGGTGGATGTCTACTAACCTTACTTTATGTACCTACCTACAGGTCCAGCTACCCATCGCAGCGACCTAAGGTACATGTATGTATTGTATTGTACATACCTAGGTAGTGTGGACCTAAGGTAGATAACACCCGGTAGTTAGACTAAAGGTAGTAACTTCCACATTACTTCCACATTACTTCACTTAATGGTGACTTGCTTACTCCGTCTATTTCTTATCCTACCTTCATTTCGCATAACAGTTATTTGGTGCACATCGTTTCACCTCATCCCAACCCCATTTCAACTATCCGACTATTACCTCTTGACTGTAAATCATTTAATCGGCATCACCTGACTTCGCGACAATTCCCCCAATCTCCTTGGTCGCTCTTCTTTTTAATCTTCGTCATCTCTCTCCTAACTACTACAATCTAGTTACAGTCCGCGTCTGGTCTTTGATGTTCGTCCCCGGGTCGTATTCTTCATATTCCCGTTAAGAACCTAACCTAGGTTTATGCCTTATTTTGCCGTGACAGGTATTTCTTTGCCGCGAGTTCCTCATTACTGCTCAAATTGAAGCCCGAGGCCCCCGAGATTTGGATTCAAAATTCAAAATTCAAAACTCGTTTGGCCTCAGATAGCTTCTTCTTTGTCTTGTGCAAACAGTTCTCCCCTCTTCAGGACAGTTCATACTACAGCCCGTCTGCAAGAAGTCGGATTGAACAACCTACATCGTCTCTAAATTTCATTATCTTCTCCGGTATACCTCTCGGCGTTTTGCCAACCCTCGGGCACCCGAGGTGCTTTAATACACCTCTGGTTATGAGCGTTGTCACGAGTCCTTGTAGTCATCCGCGTCATTCAACATGGTACGAGCTTAACACTTTGCTATCTTACGTCAATGCCTTCTGTTTATTAACTAGTTGCTGTAGAGTAGCATCGCCTGGGAATGCCGTGATCAGGCCGACCAGGCCGAGATCTACTACAATCATCCCCTTCGCACCAAGGTTCGACGTCTCGAGGATGAGAATATGACCCTGAAGCGCCTACTCCGTGAGAATGGCATCTCTTGGCAAACCCGTCCCAAGCCCGCGAGGACTTCTACTGGGCGAATCACCCGTGCTTCTACTAGAGCCGTTCGCCCGCCCCTCCCACACATCCCGGTTGAGATACAGCTTAGAATTATGTCATTCGCTCTGACTAGCTCACTTCCTATCGTCGATCCGCTATGCAAGGTCAAGCCGGAGAATCTGACGGTACGAGAGAAGTCCAAGTCTAGCAGACTCGCGATTCATTTCTTGGCCACCTGTAAGGCCTACCATGATGAGGGCACCAAGCTCCTATGGACCAATAACTCCTTTGTCTTCACCAGTCCGGAGTCACTCAGAAACTTCGCCGAGGTCCCTCTTCACTTCCGACAGAACATCAAGGATGTCACCCTCCGCGTCATTGCAAGGTTCTATGACGACGAAGAGCGAACACACAGGATTAGTCGCAACTACCACCCCGATCTTAGAAAGGCCGTTGCCTTGACCGTGCATAAGCGACCTAAGGAGAATAGTCTTGCTCGCCGTGGTTTTCGAACTTACGGTTGGTACCAGCTTGCTGACTTCCTCACGGCTATGTTGCCTCCCTTCAACCCTTCTTACGTTTCTCATAGCAATGGTTCGGCCACAACGTATTCTGCTCCATTGCCTAAGTTACTACCATCTCTAGAAAAGATTCGCATTGACTTTGTGAATTTCGGTGAAGACATATTTAACAACCCGCCTCCCCAACTTCACGAAGTCGCGTCACACCAGCTTGGATGCACACTAAATGAGGTAGTTTTGACTGGCTTGCCGAGTGATGAGACCGGTCTTCGGGTTTGCAATGAGATGGCCGGCCTTTTAAAGAACGAGGGTCTCCTTATTGATCACGCACCTACGATGATAGCTCTCAAGAACGGCGTGCGTGCTCTCGAATGCGATACTCATGAGTGTCATTACTGTGCTAAGGTCGTTCGAGCGATGCGCGCATTTAAGAGTGGCGACCACCATCACGATGATGTGCATTCCCATCTGTTCGGAGCCGACTTCCCACCCGCACCTAAAGATGAAGGCGAGCCACCTTATTCCTATTATCATTCCTGCCGAACCATTTGGAAGAAAATACCTATCAAGCTCGGCAACGATGAGCGCAAGTGGGTGCTATTTGACAGGATGAGCGGACTTCCGTGGGATGACGTCGAGGAGGACATCACCATGTTCGATTTTCTTAGCGACGAAGACGAAGCTATCGCTTGTGAGAATTGCGGCGAGGTTCATCCGGGAGCCATTCCTCCCATAGAGATGATGGATCTTTACGACGACTTTTAAGCACGTACCCGAGAGGATAATTCCAATCTTTCTACGATGATTACGAATGATATGCATATGATACCAGGTTTGCTTTAATTTCGGCATTTGCACGGGCGGATGAAAAAGGAGCGGAGTGGCAAATGTAATAAGACTACATACAGGTCGAACACATCTTCACAGCAAAGGATGTCCCGACACTACCATGTAATATACGAGCCAAACAACACTTCAAGGCTCAAGTATCCCGATGCCTGCTTTGTGTGAGTTGGCCTCCATCCAAGCGCCAACTTGGCTTTTTATTAGGAGCGATAAGCTTTAATTATGACAGTTTTCATATCATACATGTCCTCTTCTTCGTGTTCCGTCTGTAATAGTTTTGTGTTGCCATTAGCCGACATGGTATAGTTATTCTATGTGGCAAGTAGCATCCTCAGCAGGCGGATAAATTAACCTCATCATATTATATACCTCTTATAAGGATGGAAGAGGTTCTACATGAAAGATGATGTGAGGATAGGAAAGACGCTGTATGTCAAAATATTCTGATTGGTGTTGGGGACACCCTCTCCCCTGTAGGTAGAATCAATATTATGCTAGAGGTAATCTACACAGTTGAAATATAACAGGTAGGTAACCTAGACAAGAGATACCAAGCCGTAAAATGCTTTAGTCCGACTGGTTTCGTTTGTAACTCTAATTTTCATTACTCTGGTACTACAACCTGTTTTCTCCCTTCTCTGCCTCTACCGAGAAGTAGTTCTAATGCAAACAGACTGCTCATCAGCTTTTGCGGATTTCGGCCATTTTAACTCCAGTAATAGAACATGGCTGATCGTCATCATCATGGGAAACCGTATGCCCACCATGCCCTCGGACTGGGGTGAACTCATAACAGTACATGAAGGTTGAATTACTCTTCAGACTCTGCTTCAATTTCGGCATCCTTGGCCTCAGCCTCTTCTACCTCTTCCTCGGCTTCCTCAGCTTCGCCATTTACCTCTCCGGTGGCAACGCCGCCTTCGCTTTCCAGCTGCAGCCACTCATCCCATTCGGGGAAGAGTTCTTCGTCTTCTGTTGGGATAGCAATCACCTTCGCCACGCGACCCTTTTTGTTCTTCTCCAAACTTTCTTTCCACCCTTTCACAGCATCAACTGTCAAGCTCGGCTTGTATGTCTGTGAGAATAGGACAGCTTCAGCTAGCCTGTTCGTCTTGGTAAGAACCTCTACACAACCTGCGGTATCACCCAGCAACCACCTGCACGTGAATGCAACGTTGTGGGCGCCGGACTCCTCTGCTTGCGTCGCAAGAGCCTTTAAGCCTGCCTGATCCGATGTGCTAGAGTAAATCAGGAGTAAAGAGCCCAGATCTTTCGCATGGGTGAAGCATTCAGCAGCGAGCGGGACGTCCCATGCCGTGAGGGCTGCGTCACCTACCGTCTTCCACTTGTGGTCATTTTCCGCTTTTCGTGCAAGGTCAAGAGCAATGTCAAGCTGGTTCAAGGCTAGCGACAAGTCGAACTTATGCTCAGGGTCGGTGGCTACCTCCAACGCCAGTTCTTTGTGGCCCTGTCCCTCGAGGAACCTGGCGATCTTGTTGAGTTGATCTGCAGGGATAGTAGGGAGCAGTTCGGCTGCCGTTTCCATATCGCCACGGAGTACTAGCGTCTGGTACTCTAAGACAGGGAGAGATAGAGCAAAGCTTGTGACGTTGACATCCTTGTCGGCCAGATATATCCGGGAGTCTCTTTGGATATAACCGAGAATATACATCGGCTGGTCGAAATGTGAGATGGTGTATATTTGGTCACCAACTAGGTAGTTTAATCGGTTTGTGCTATTGGTGTAGATGAAGCAGTCACCAACCCATTGGCCTGTTCGCACGCTATGAAGATGTTAGTTATGAGTAGAGAATTATCAAGTAGCAAACCCTTACCTCTCAGCAATATCTGTAATAACCTCGAAGGCGGCTTCAACTCCATCTTCGTCTACTTGACCAGCTTGAGTAGCTTCGACATAGCTCTCGCGGGAGAATCTCAAAACGTAGAAGGTATCCTCACAAGCCAAAGTGACAAGCTCGCCGCTGTCTGACCAATATACCTCTTTTGGTTCTACTTCGATCCGTCTGACTAGACCGCCAGTGGTCCAGTCATAGAAAGACACACCTCCTTGGCCCTTTACGCCCAACAAGACGCCACCCGTTAAACCATCAGCCTGGAAAGGGATGTCTAGACCACCGGTCTTCTCGACAAAATTCTTGTAGACCTTAACACTGGTTGCCGACTCACGAATAGCGAAGTCGTTACTGTTGTCCTTCGATGCCCATACGAAATCTAGCGCAGACCCGAAGGCCTTGTTACGCCACGCCAAAGCCGTGTAAATGATATACTCGCCATCACCACAAACCGCAACAAAACGACCATTGGGGGAATGAATGAGCGTTTGAGGATAAACTTCGCATGTACCTAGCTCCTTCGTGGGGAGTGTGATTTGTTCGTTATCCTTAATCGAGGCGTCTATAGCCCGAGTCAGTACTTGAGACGATCACGGGGTAGAGACAATACACATACCGCCACCCTTGATGATGGATGAGACGACTTCGTTGTGTCGAGCCCAAATCAATTTGCCAGAACTATCCATGGATACAGCAGGCTCTTCTCGGCCCAGCTTTACTACCACTGCGCCATCATCGAATCCGACGGCTACACCTTGCTTACCACGCTGGTAGGAAATACACCACGCACGCTCTAGGCCGTAGTTGAGAGACTGTTCAAAGCGGTAGGTATTTGCGTGCCATATCCTGATAGTGCCATCTTCAGAACCGGAGATGATGACAGGCAGCTCCGGATGATAACAGGCGAAGGACACGTTGTTGGTATGCCCTTCGAGGCTCGCAATGAGACTCTTAGTTGTATAATCCCAAACCTTAACGGTTCTGTCGTCAGAGGTTGTGAGGAGGTACGGCTTGTCGGAATGCGGGTAGTAATCGACATGGTTTACACCTTTTGTCTCGTGGGCCTCGAGTGTGAAATTGGCGGTGGAGGAACCCAAGCTCCATATCTTGACGGTCCTATCTAAACAGGCCGAAGCAAAAGTGTTTGTATCCTTAGGATTAATGGCCAATCCCATGACATAGTGGCTGTGACCTTCAAACACTTGTACGCACTTCCATCCCTTCTCCCAATCCCATAACTTGATGGTCATGTCATCGGAGGCGGTCAGGACGAAAGGTTGCGTGGGATGGACCGCGATAGCGCGTATGTAGTCGGGATGCGCCTCGAAGGACGTAATCTTTTCGGAGGTGTTATAGTTATATACTCTTAGTTGAAAGTCGTCGGAACCGCAAACGATCCAGTTCTTCCTCGCGACGAATCGACCGGCTCGTACAGGGACATCAGTGAGCTCAAAGGTCTTGACGATCTGCTGTGTTTCATACGACCAGATGTAAACGTGGCCTTGCAGAATTAGCTATTAATGAGAGCTCAAGGGACTCGAAGAGACCGAAGACTGGCTCACCGCTGTATAAGGTAGTTAGAATCCATGGCTCTTGCGGGTGATAGTCGATGCCCTTGACACGCTCACTGCGCGCAAAGAGTTGTCGCTGTGCGTCAAATACCATGTTAGTGTATCCAATAGCCTGGTAGCTAGTTTATATAACTGGAATATAAAGCATGGGGATTTAATTCGCAAGGCGTGGAGGATAACAATGGTAGTATTTAGGAGTTGAGCCGCAGCTCGGCGAGGATGCGAGGGCGCGAGGGTCAAAGAAAGGCCAAATCTCGATTTGCCAAACCGAATGTCTCGAACTGGAAGTAAACCAAAAAGGAATCGGAGCGAAGGGAAATATTGCACACACCTTCACATCCAGCCTCATTTTGCCGACAGCTCCAAATACCGTAGGAAATGAATGGGTCGTATAATGGATGCAACGATTCGTTCGAGGAAGAGGGGGGGGGTAGTTGGTAGTTGATCGTAGGCAGATCGATGCTAGTAATATTACGTGAAGACCATCTAGATTGAGATTTCTGAATTGCAATATGTGTTCCGTCTATACAAGTGGAGATATCGTTTCAATTGCTGGGTTATGTGTAGTTTGTAGTTTGTAGTTTGTAGTTTGTAGTTGAAGCTTGATAGCTTACTTTAATTCTGAAAGCCCAAGTAACACATAATTTACCCATAGGGTATTGCTATTTCCACATTTTCAAGTTTCAACGGTGGTCACTTCTCCCTTCTAAGGTTCTTTCAACCAATCAGCAAAGCCGCTAACTTACGTAATATGTGGCTGAAAGCTTTGCCGAATCTTTAGGTACCTATGTACCCATCCCAAAATCAGCCACAACATTTACACCTACAACCTCCCGAACAGTGGAAACATCTTCACTTCTCCTGAATACAGTCCGCGGTATGCAAGAAGTACTCAATTTCAATTGCCTAATATCCAATCCATACAGAAAGTTATATATGAAGCATTACAAGTATACATGGCTCATCATAACACTCTTCACCAGTCACTTTTAAGAAGACAATTCAATTTAAGTCATGATAATGTTTATTGGAAATCAATCTTCTCCTATCGTCAATATTGTATTTAACTCGACAAGAATGACTTATACCTAGCGAGAACGCAACGCAATCGATGCAGATTTATAATACTGCTGACGTGATCTAGTCGTCGTAAAGCGTCCTGCGTTCCCTTAAATTTCCTTTCTGGTATCACCATACATGAACGCCTTTATCCCCTGTCATTTCCCTAGACGTAACAATCGCTCCCATGCCGTGAAATTCATCTGAAATGCAAATGCGGAAATAGAACACAGAAGGCAAAGAGGCACTTGGAAAGGGGAGATATTTATCCAGGTGCTTAGTCTTGGCTGTCCGCCTGGACCTTCTGGACGATCTCAACCACCTTGGGATATAGCTTCTCCGACTTTTGTAGACCGCACACCTTCTGGACCACCTCCTCGGGGCTGTTCTCCAACATGATCTTGGCAAGCTCCTTGCTCTCGTCGTCACCATCCACGTTCTGGAAGCGGAAGGCCATCTCGGCGGCAGCTAGGAGGGCTGGTGTGTCGTAACCCATCTCGGCCAATTCAGCAGCAGGACCGATGAAGCGTTCCTTGCGACCAAGCTTTCTTAAGGGAGCACGTCCAACACGCTCGACAGCATCAGCCAAATGAGGGTTGCTGATTCGGTCAATGATCTTCTTCTTGTAGGCCTCCTGCTCCTCGGGGGCGATGCCATGCTTCTCTACAATAAGCTTGGCGGTCTCGTTGACTGCTGCGGCAACCTGACTCTTAATGTCCTTGTCTCGCATAGCGTCGTCGACGGTCTGCTTCTGCCTGTTGTAACCAAAGTAGGCGGCAGTGGCGTGTGATGTGTTGACGGTGAAGAGCTTACGCTCGATGAAGGGCTGTAGGTTGCCTACCCACTTGATCCCCTCAATGGACGGTTTCTCGCCATGTTGGAACGGAGTCTCCTCGACAACCCACTCGTAGAACTTCTCCAAAGTCACATCCAAGCCGGCGTTGGGATCTTGGGCAGGAACAATACGGTCGATCGCAGAGTTGGCATAGGCAGCTCGCTCGTGATGGTCTTCGAGGCGGTGCTCGGGAGTGTTCTTGGGGTCCTTGATGTGACCAGCGAGGGCGTCTGTGGCACCGATCATGTTCTCGCAAGCAATGACGACGAGAGGCTGGAGTTCATTTGAGCGCTTGTCGATACCCTTGGCAATGACGGGGGCGATGAACTTGAGGATGTTAGGGCCGACAGAGCAGGTGACAACGTCGGCAGTTGCAATCTCGTCAACAAGTTCAGCCTCGTTGTGCTTGGAGTTGATAGCTCGGTAGTTGGTGATTGTCTTGACATCTGTGCCTTCAACACCACGCTCAATGACCTTGTACGAAGGTGTCGAGTTTAGGGCATCTACAAGCTTGTCGACAACATCGGCGAAGATGACCTCGTAGCCTGACTCATGTAGGAAACATGCGACAAAGCCTCGGCCAATGTTGCCGGAGCCGAAGTGCACTGCCTTCTTGCCCATTGTGAATTAGTGTAGGTAGAGGTGATAGAAGAGATGTGATGTTGTAAGTGCGGATAATAGGATGGTAGAATTTGTGAGGATGTATGTTATGTTTCTAAAGTTTTAGAAACACGGGGAGTAGAGGTGATATAATGAGGTTTGTTGAAAAAAAAAAAAAAAAAAAAGGAAGGAGGAGTAAGATAAAAAGGGATTGAGAAAGGGAAAAGTTGATGTTCTTATGTGCAAGTGCAAGAGGTTGGAAATAGGTAGTGACGAGGAAGGAGCGAGGTGACTGGACCAAACCCACGAGGCCCACGAGCCCCGAACAATTCGACCGGAAGTGGAGGGGTGCTGCGTAGCGTCACGGCAGGAATGAATGGCGGACTGTATCGTACTGTACTCTAAGGGGTCCACCGTTTTGTTGGCCTTTGCTGACGGCATTACGGCATTACGTACCCTGCACAGCCGGCAATCCCCAGTTTATTTCCGACCCACTTTAACGTATCGTGTTTTAACGGTAGGTGTTTGACTCCAATTACAACAATTACAACAATTACATATAACTCCAATAACACACCTGAGCGTCAAAAGTGACTCTGTTCATGTACGAAGACTATGTAATGTGTACTATCAGCATCGAATATCTCTCAATCGGCTAACTGACGATCATAGATATTATCCATTCTTTCGATATATACAACCCTATGGATAGCTTACATTGGAAAAAGCCTCAGCTTTGTGTAGGACGAGCCCAACTCCTAAATGACTCGAGAACATATCAAACAGCTCATAGGCACAATAAGTATCTGCTGCCGAAGTGGTTGCCCATACTTGATTATAACGCCTTTTCTTATGACTTGTAATTCGCCAGTGCCACTTCATCACGGCACAGGAAGATTCCATCGAATACGAAGTCTAACAACACTATAATGCTTTATAAGAAGTTGAAGTAAGTTAGGTACGCTAGAAAATTTTATGTCTCGCGATGTTAAAAACAGTTTGGAAAAAACTCTTCTCATGCTCATCGCCATCGTATGATCCAACTATATTTACCATTTGACGATGCTCCTTACTATTGGTCCCTTCAAATCCCAACGTTTTGTAGGTAACTGAGACAGTATCAAACATTATGTTCTTACTCTCCGTGCCAAGTCTTGAATGACACTGTATATCCCGAATAGTTCCACGTAGGCTAGTCAATTCTTGTCCCTTTTAATATCGTCATTAGGCTTCATCCACCACATCCCTGAAAGCTCGCCAGCGATTCCGTGCTTAACATTGATCCGTCAAGCCCTTAACGATAACTCACGATCGCCAGGAGGACTCAAGACTAGGCGTCTAGAGAACCTGTAAGACACTCGATAAGCTGGACTAGACGCGAAGATTGATGAAATCATAACTGCAAGGAGAATGAATATATTATATGAACCTATATGGACCCTTAATAACAAAAAGGCACATGCAACGTGCCAAAGTCTGGGGGAGTCGTGGCCTTGCCCAGTACTCTCTAGTCCCACCCCCCTCCGGCGCTCAGCAGCCCTAGATCTGATTTGATATCTACTGAGTGCTTGGCATACATTGCAGACCACTGACCACTTACATACAAGGCTATCTGAAGCAAAGTAGCCTAGTCCCTGCAGCTATTTTATCACCGCCCATTATCGCCAATAGGCGGAGTGGTAGAGATGCCGAGCGGACTGCAGCACTGTTAATGAGAATGTGGTCGGCTACGAAAGTAGGTGGTGTGTCCCTCGGCGCTTCTCTATTATCGTGATACCGTATAGCTCCACACACACTCTTTAGACCTTTAGACACAGTTTAATAATACACGAAGAGAGTTCAGATATGAGTCTGGGAGGAAGATTATAGAAGAGTCGATTGAGTCAGCCATCTTACTGACGAATCAGCACTACTTTCATCTTGATAGGTTTCTGAGGGTCATTAAGGAATGGAACGTGTTTAGATCTAGTGGCCGGGGAAGATCCCTATACCTATGACCTCACAACCACAACCCGGTGTAAGACACAGACTTCCTAAAAGGGAAAACATATAATACGGTCTGTACCGTTTAAAACGTATGAAGCTTAAGGGGGGAAAAGAAACAAGGTTCTTTTAACCGGACAATCCAACCAAAAGGCCAAGGGCGACTTCTCCTCCCCGCCGCCCTCGTCCAATTCTGGAAGTCAAAGCCCCTCCTAATCCTAGTCGATGATCTCATAGGGCAGCCCAAACGATTCCGCTAACACAGTCAATGGCGAATGGGGATCGCGCTAAAAACCACTCAAAACCCCTAAAGGCGAACAGATTGCGCTTCTTAAACATCATCGTGAAAGACTTCTACCGGGGTCTAAGGGTCCCAAGGTCCCAAGTCCATGCTTAGGGTTGCATCAGATCGATTCTTGGGTCATTTCACTTCAATTTCACTTCAATTTCACTTCATGATTACGTACCCGAGCGGCTCTCCCTCCGTTGAATTCTCCGACGAGAACCCTTCAGGCCTTTATTTCTTCGCGGATACGCGCAGTCAAGTTTTGCGAAACTCCGCTAGGTTAGTTACATATTCACAAGTCATTGATCACTGCGGGGTTTGAACTGGTTCAGAGCAAGTAGACTCTCTCCCACCAATAGTTCAACACTTCTCCTGTCGCTCAATGGCGTCCCGCCAGCCTTGCAAGGTTCGACACGTCGATCTCCCAAAATATAACGAGTCGACTTGGATCAACCCAGTACCAGATAAGCTCGAATACCACTTCGACAACCTCCCCCGGGTTTCACGTGGCACTTAAGCACTCTACCTGTACCGGGCACTTAACCGGGCACTTACATAAGTATCTGATTGAATATCTGATTGACATGGAGAAATTCAAGCAAACAATGGCGAAGCCACAGCCTACGAGTATGTAGACCACCTGGACTAAAGGCGTCTGTTGCGCTACATAGTTATTCTATCTTTTCTTTCGACGTGCATAACCGGTCTACTACCTTGGCTACCTTGGCTACCTTGGCTACCTTGGCTACCTTGGCTACCTTGGCTACCTTGGCTACCTTGGCTACCTGGCTACCTGGCTACCTGGCTATCTGGCTATTTAGCAAACACTCCTACACAAGCATACTAGATCTCGATGCCGCTAGCCAGTCCCCAGCAACATCGTGATCCAACCAAAAACGGCATGTATCTACATTACATAAGAAACATTATGGTCAAGCGACTACTTTCATACATTAGGTAGGTAACGGTTGTTCATCCAGTCTCAAGATCCACTCACTTACATATCGATTGGATGGCTTATCTGTTTGCCTGTGACCCATTCTTGAGATATCACCATTTTCGTACCAGCCTATTGGATAACCTGCCTACTCTCGATATCAGCAAGGCTATGTGTTCTCACGATAGTCATTACCGCTGATTATTCGGAATGAGACGACCCACAACACTCGGGATGAAAACCCACGATACCTCCAAGCACTGTGTCGGATTCCGAGCCAGCCCCAACGACACTCGGCATTGCTACTAAATTCTCACCTCTCTTTTTACAAGGGGTATTCGAAGCCTCCCTAATCTTGCTCCTCCAATAATTAATCGTGAACTTCAGCTTCTTCCACCTAGCTCAATCTCGATTTCTTCCGGCCCTAGCGGCCCAATTATGCAGGAAACGGAATTATTCTTCTGGGACTTCCTATCTTATGCTAACTCGCTGCATTAAACCCCGACGAAACAGATAAGCTGTAACTTCGAACTTATCAGGCCATAAAAAGGACCGATAAATTATTACGTGTCCCAGAGCACTGCCGCCATAATTTCAATTTTTCATTAATAATGTTTCTTTCAGCCGAATAACGTGCTTGGGTATGCTGCTGTTCCTGGTGTTGCGCTGCTGCTCGAGATAAATCTTACCGCTCTCTGATTATTTTCGGACATGGGACGGCCTCTCCCGACCTGGTCCGACCCACTGTGGGGCCGGTTTATCCCGAAATTCTCAAAACAATTGAATGATCCACCGAGGAATTCAGGAGAACTCAGTTGTGCCAAGTCACAATATCTATAATTAAACAAAAAGGATACTTTGAATAATACCCCTTTGATATATAAGGTAGATTCATGATAACCCAGCGACTCACACTTAGTAATGAAACAATTTAAAGAGAGTTATTATGAATTTCGGTTTTTGATTATTGGGGTTTTGTGTTTTTGGTTACTAAAAAGTCTCCTCAGAGACTAAGATCTCACACTTATTGTGAGATTCTTCTATAGTTATACTATAAAGCCATCGAAATAAAAGTCATCGCAACTTGTAAACTTCCTTGGCCTCTTACAACTAAGACCTCTTTATATCTGCACCTATCCGTGCCTCATCTCATCAAACGAATCTCATAACTATAACCCTGTTGAATTTCCATCCCTGGTATAAGAGAAGAGTTCCCCTTTTAGACTAGTGTTTGAAGTGAAAGAAGTGTGCCATGAAGATGAAAGAGGCCAAGCAAATTTAAGCTTAAGCGCTCACGCTGGATATACCTTAATATAAAGGATGAGAAGGATTTCGTGTTGATAAAATTATTCAGTCTCATGTTCCATCTCAATCTCTAGTCGGCGACGATGATATCTGTTAGAGAGGTCCAGCATCTTCTTCATGAATTCTTGATGTAAGGCTTCGAGCCGTACCTTCTTCTCATCCTGGCGTTGGCTATCCTGTGGGCGGCTCTCAGTCTCATTATTCAGGCGCTGCCTCTTTTCACCATGCTCCTCCTGGGTATCATTCTGATAACCCCTTTTATATAAAGCTCCTTCGGGGCGGGCGAGCAATGAGGGTGAAGGACGAGGGCTTGCATAGAGGAGGGCAGAACTAAGGGATGGAGAGGGCTGTAAGATACTACGCCGAGAAGCTTGCGGCTCTCGGCTGCCAATTACTGCAGGCTCGGCATCGTAAATATCATCTAATTCTGACTCGACAGAGACCCTGTTGGGAGGAGGAAAGGCGCCAATAATAAGGCCCTGACGTCCGTCGTAGGCGTCTATGTCACGAATGTCATCTATAGTGAGAATATGGTCCACATTCTCGACAGTGACTATCTCGGGCCAGTCCCAGGCCTTAGTTACTTCCGCAAGGATAGCACTGAGTCGGTCGGCAGGCACCCGCTTTTTATGGGATGACCATTCTAATGAGCGAGATGTATTACGAGCCGTGAAGTGAGCTCGCGTAGCCTCGTAGTCGAGTCTTTTGCAGGCACTCGGTCGCACTATGGTGGAAAAGGTTAGCAATCATGTAATAAGGATGTGCTAGTTCCAACACAAGATAAAAATGAAGATAAAGGAATTCTTGATGTTACTTACTTCCTTTCACAACCCATCTCTCTCTGCCTTTAGGGTCAGCTCGGATCTGGGTTGTCTTGTGCTTTCCCATGACACGTCGATAGTAGAGTTGCTTTGATAGGATTTCGTGAGGCTCGTGGACCTGACGTATATAGCGTTCTATGAACCACTTGTATTTGTCGCAATGTCGCCCGTCAATAGCCATCACGATACGCTCAAGCTCCTCATCAACCGGTTCCTTATTAGCCTGTAGTAGGTCCTGTGCCCCCAAGCCGTGGCAGTTATTGCCATTGCCACCATTAGGGTTGCTGCGATAGAGGTCATCCTCAATTAAGATGGGGTTATTATTGTCTCCATCTGCTGCAGCCTCAATGTTGGCCTGTATATTAGCTCCGGCATTGGCTCCGGCATCCTCGCCCTCTTGCTTCATGAAGACTTTAATGTCCTCATCGTCGTCATCAAACTCATTCTTGAACCTGAGCCTCCAGGGTTCGAGAATCACATGATCGTCACCGTCGGGAACCCGGTCGCCAGCACCACGACTTTTGCGTTGTGCTCCCATCTTAGTAATTTAGGGATATACGAGTGCTTTGTATATTTGAAAAGGTATTAAAGTAGTGCTGAATGAATGTGAGTAATGTGTGTAGGGCCGGCGAGGTTGATGTAACAGGGTGGAGGTTCATGGAGAAGGGAAGGTTGATGTAAGGAATATGAGTGACGAGAAGTTCAGGTTCATGCAAAAGTGAGGGGGGGCGAGGGGCGGCGACTTGTTTATATAGGAATACACATACCTGTTAAGCAAGAATAGTTGCAAGGGCGTTACTGCCGTCAAGTGTAGAAGGAGCCGTGTTACGGCTCCGGAGGCAACGGCCCTAGTGGTGAGTGAATAGCCTGACTTCCCATTTCGGGATAGATGGAAAGCATATACCTGCAACGGGGCAGGGGATAGGGTGATAAGATGTAGTGAATGTCTAGAGGACTTGAAGGCAGGAGGTAGTATGGGTAAAGCTTTACCAGGATAGGTTAAACGGTAGGTGAGGCAGGAGGTGATGAAAGGTTTTGTGCTCAGAGTTCGAGAAGGTAGGAGGTGATGTAAATGCGAGGCAGTAGTAATACAGTAGGTGATATATATATATATATATATATGTGTGTGTGTGTGTGTGTTAGGTTATGGGATTAGAATAAAATAAAATAAAAAGGTATTGGAAGGATTTGATGTGTAGGTAGAAAGCAGCTAAGTGCTCTTACTGTCAACAAATTAAGAGAAGTTGTAGCTTCCATGATATTTTGTGATGATGTCCTCAACAAAAAGGTTAAGAAGGTGCTTAGGGTTAGGTAGGTAGGTTGTTTATTTTGGTGTAACTTTATGAGGAAAGTTGGAAGGAGGGTGAATGTTTTCTCACAAGGGCAAGACTGTATTTAATAGGGCAAGAGGTTTGAAGAGCAAAAGAGCTGGGGAAAGAGGTTGAACTGTAGAGGAAGTTATACGCGTAGAGCACCTGAATGGGAGGAAGGGACTGGCTGCTAGGATACCACATGTAGCAATGGTAGTGCAGGAGGCGGTTCCTTCTGCCACTACTTGGATTCCACTAGCACAAAATCATACAAAACAATGCTCTTTCCTCGATTCCTCAGGTGAAACAATATATTGTTAGTCACTTTCGTGGGTCTGCCATAGTCTGTTTGTGGCCAGTTCATGTTCACATGGGAAGTTAAGCCCATCCTGAAAAAAGATGAAGGAGCCCAAATGCTACGAAGCTAATAAAAACATGAGAAATAAATAATATTGTCTACGTCCTACGCCTTCACAGCCAGTTGCTTCCCTATGACAACAATGCGTGAGTCCCAAGCAGGAGAAGTCAGTGACGAACAAGGTGAGCACAATAGCCAGCGAGACTACGACTAGACCAGTAAAGAAGCCATAGAAGACACGATGTTAACCTACATAAGACTAGTACAATACTACCTAAAGTATGGCAACAATATATAAAGCAACAGTCTGGCCTTCTAGGCCGCGTAACAGGGCGTATCCTTTAGATAAAAAAAATAAACGAATAGAATGCTACGTAGCTTAGACTAATGATAAATCAATAGATGAGGTACAGCATCTATTGAAAGAGGCTTACGTTTGTAAAAGTACCTATTCTAGGGTGATAACAACGAACGGAATAAACAGAAATTATGCACCTACACCGACACATAGAACCTGTACAAGCATCACTTGCCAATATTCCCTACGGATGATATTGGTTAATATCATCTCGAGAGTCTTCATAACTGATTCGGAGACAAGGAGAAATCAAAGGTATCCATAATCATATAGTAGAAATAACAGTAAGGCAGCAGGCTTTAGCCAGGTTGAACTTCGGATTCTATTATGGTTCAGGCTGATAAAATGAACGTCTTATACCACGCCGAGTTAACTAATAATTATTGCCTTGAATGGAAATCTCATTTGTATAAAATAAGGATTGATGAATTCTATTTGGACAAGTCTTAGAATCCCCTAGAAACAATACTAAATGAGAAAGAAGAGAGTGGTAGTCAAATTAATAATGTCATTAAGTCGAGATGTGAGGATCAGGGTATAAATACAACTAATAAAGCTACTTTCCAAATGTTATACAACTCCTAAGGGGAATCAAGCCTGGGGCATGGCTACCTAGGTACTTATTAGAGAGGGAGAGCTTATCCTTTTAATATTATTATAAGTTTGTTATATGTAGGTGTGTCAGAATATCGTGTATTGTGGGGTGAGAGGGAAGTGTCTAGCTACTACCTACATGTATAGCAGTGTATTGGTGACTGTATTGATCCACGATTTCGCAAGAATAGGGGATAGAAGCATAGCCTCCTTATGTAGACTTGGTATCTGTGTTATAAGGTATGTAGAACCAGATAGCATGTAAATAACTTTGTTGTTCCGCAAGAAACTCCAGCCTAACTACAAGGGTCTACGCCCATACATTAGGTACTGAACATGTTCCTTGTTCAAGATCTCTCATCTAGAATCCTGACGGTAGCTACTTGGTTGAGTTTCTCATTACTTGTACTCATTCAATCACCCCTATTTTAAAGCACATTGATACTTATGTACCTATCATGTAACAATACTCTTGAAAAGTTTAACCCTAATACGCTCATCGCAAACACTTCGAGCGGCACGTTTTTATTAATGGATTCCATATTTGATATTTGTGTCTATTACTTATAATGACTTATGTCACTTTCCTAGCAACTCGGACGAGACAGTCTGAGACCCACCCCAGCGTATTACCTGAACACGTCGTACCGCCTGCTATAATGACTCAGAGTCTAGATTCTTTCCCTAGACGCCAAGTCGGCTCTGACCTTCAAGCGCTTGCAAATTTCTTGAACGCGCTGATGAGGCTACCCGTGCTAGCGTCGTGACCTTTGCTATTTCCAGGCTCATCTAGCTCCTGGAGAATCTTCTTGGCGAGGACCTTGCCCAACTCAACACCCCACTGGTCGAAGGAGTTGATATCCCAAATTGCCCCCTCAGTGAAAGTTAGGTGTTCATAATAGACAATGAGAGCACCTAATTCTGCAGGTCCAATTACATCACTCACTAAGATGCTTGTAGTGGGTCGGTTGCCCAGGAAGACCTTATGAGGTACAAGCTCATCAGGTGTACCTTCGCTCTTGACCTGCTCAGGTGTCTTGCCGATCATGAGAGCCTCAGCTTGCGCAAAGTAGTTGGATGCCAGCATCTTTTGGTGCAGGTTATTGGAGATTGGGTTGTGGGACTTGGCCGCGAGAATGAAGTCGGTGGGAATCAACTTGGTACCTTGGTGGACGAGTTGGAAGAATGAGTGCTGGGCGTTGGTGCAAGGTTCACCAAAGAGGATAGGACCAGTGGTGTACTTGGCAGGCGAGCCGTCCGAGGTGATGGTCTTGCCGTTTGATTCCATAGAAAGTTGCTGCAGGTATGCAGGGAAGCGGTGCAAGTATTGGTCAAAGCTATATTGTTGTTAGCGAAATAATGAATGACATTTGACGACGCTTGCTTTGAGGAACTTACGGAGCAACTAAATGTGTTTGCGCGGCAAAGAAATCGCTATACCAAACGCTCAATAGACCACCGAGGACGGGAATGTTGTCCTTAAGAGGGGTTTCACGGAAGTGCTTGTCCATTGCGTGCGCACCGGACAAGAACTTGTGGAAGTTGTCGTAGCCGATATATAGAGCGACGCTAAGGCCGATGGCACTCCAGACTGAATATCGACCGCCGACCCAGCTCTCAAAGCCGAACATGTTCTTGCTGTCGATACCGAATTTGGTGACTTCGGTCTCGTTGGTAGATAGGGCGACGAAGTGCTTGGCAATTTCGCCCTTGCCGCCGGTCTTTTCGAGAAACCACGATTTTGCGGTGTTCGCGTTCGTAGTAGTCTCGGCGGTGGTAAAAGTCTTGGAGGCGACAAGGAAGAGAGTTGTCTCAGGGTCGGAGTTAGCAAGGGCTTCAGCCATGTGGGTGCCGTCGATGTTGGAAACGAAGTGAAGCGTCGTGTCCTTAGCACCATAGTGTTTTAGAGCTTCGGTAACCATAACAGGCCCTCTAATACGCTGTTAGAAGAATGCGATACACGTTCGCAGAGGAAGCTCGCCATCACAAAAAGGGCAAGGGTTATACTTACAGGTCAGAACCACCAATGCCGATGTTGATAATAGTAGTTAGCTTCTTCCCAGTGAATCCCTTCCACTCCCCGCTCCTGACCTGCTCGGAGAATTCCTTCATGTGCTGCAAGACTTCGTTTACGCCGCCCTTGACGTTCATGACATCTTGTCCCTCCACCTTCATCTCCCAGCCGCCCACGTTTCGTAATGCCGTGTGGTAGACTGCTCGTTGCTCGGTGAAGTTGATCTTCTCACCTGCAAACATAGCATCGCGTTTCTTCTCGAGGCCAGCATCCTCTGCGAGCTTTACTAGTAGGTTAATCGTCTCTTCAGTGATGAGGTTCTTGCTGAAATCGAACAGAATATCTGTGCCGCTATTGCTGAAGGTCTTGCTGAATTTTTCGAAACGGGATGGGTCAGAGGCGAAGGCCTCCTTCAAGACAAAGGTCTTGCCAACGGTCTTGTAGTGCTCCTCTAGGGCAGCCCAGGTGGGCAAAGAAACTGCTTGAGGCATCTTCTCTTGAGAGTCTGTCCGGAGACTGGAGACTGGAAGAAGAAACGAAGGTATACTGATGCTAACTACGCCAAGAAGTTTCGTTGTTAGTATGCGTGTATTATATAGCGACGGGATTAACGGCGCGGGGTGAAGTGATGCGGTAATGCGGGCGGCGGGGCAACACGTATAGGTTGGGTACCTCCTAAGGCACCTAGCTATGTCACAACTGTGTTTCACTTACATCGGAAGAGTATCAAATTTTACGAGATCGTGGAGTCGTTAATAAGGAAGAAGTCTGTATATATTCAATATCTCGGGTAGGAAAAGAAGTAGTGGGGGTTAAAAGTGGATGAGTGAGCGACATTTAGACATTTCTTGGAAGCTGGAAGCTGGAAGCTACCTTGGAAGGTTCTTACTTTCCTTTGCTTGTATTGATGTACAATACTTTGATAGATGTACCTCATAGGTAGGTAGGTACCTACAATGTGCCATTGTCATCCCATCTACCCCGCGCTAGTGACGTGATGCTTATGGCATATGAACCTATAAATTTTATCCCGTGTACCTAGCCCACGCAAAGCGGGATCGGGAGACTCGGCGTCTTGCTTGCTAGCTTGCTACATCTAGGTAGCCTAGGTATATACATGTAATCGGTTAACCCCGACAAGCAATTGTATCTATTTTCTCTTACACGTCCCAACATTTGAGGCAATAAGAGAGCAAGCCAATCTTATAGTCGGGAGTAATAGTAAGCCTTCGGTAAAATTGACTCGGTAAAATTAAAGGATCCGACATTTTCTAGCAGTGGCTACAAAGACCTTACAGACGACATGGGACTTTTAGCTCACAGGCCTGGGCAATAAATAATACGACAAGGTATTGGCAATGGGCGTCTTTTCCTTGGCCTCAATCTCGTCTATCTACAGAGTTGTTCTCCTTTTGAGATCCCAGAAAGTGCAAACTCGGAAGCATCGTCAATAACTCATGCCAAACTCCATATGAAAGTGCTTCTAGGCTGGTCCAGAATCCGGGAATATATCGCAACAGCAACAGCAACACAACGCAGGACACCATCACCACATGTGTATGTCACATCCAGTGTTTCCAGTTATAAACTACGCCGACTTGTGCTCTACCTATTTCCATCCTGTTAGTCAATCTCCCACCCATGAATTCGGGCGTATGTTGTTATATCGCCATGGCCTAGATGTACATCCGATAAAAGACAATCGCGTGTTTATCGCCTGTCCTGGATACTGCCAACGAACGACGGGTCCTTAACGCTGCCGCCGGCATCGCCAAGTCCCGCGATCGGTCGGTTGTAGCTGAAACCCGCAAATTGATTTTGCATCGTCTCCGACAATACTGGTCCCTCGACATACGAGTCTTGCGGAGCTTCCGAAGTAAATTCGGGATCAAAGTTCTTTGTATCGAGAGCATCGGCCTGGGTCCAAGTTAGAGTTGAGAAGTTACACAATGTGAAAAATTGGCACTGAACAATACTTACAACGCTGGGTTTGAACGTGGGTTCGTATTTGCGCTGCAACAGCTTGCGCCAGTCGATGGCGTGGAAGAAAGGATGGGCCTTAATCTCGGCGCTGCCTGCAGCTCCTAATCGCTCTTCTGGGTTGCGGTTGAGGAGCTTCGAGAGAAGGTCCTTGGCCGCAGGAGGCACGACGTCTGCGCTAGGGAAATGTAGGGGCTCCGACAAAATCTTGCGGTACATCTCATTAGTATTTTCGTCGTAAAATGGTGGGAGACCCGTAAGCATTTCGTAGAGGAGAACTCCTAGAGTCCACCAATCCACTGTCTTGTTGTATCCCTTGCCCATAAGAAGCTCCGGCGCTAAGTATTCGGGGGTGCCGCAGAACGTGTTAGTCCTGTCTTCATCCTTCATATCTAGCTTACAAAGACCGAAATCGCAAAGTGCGATGTGACCTTGGTAATCAAGTAGGATGTTCTCGGGCTTCAAATCTCGGTAGATAACATTGAATCCGTGCAAACACTCTAGGGCGCAGAGTAGCTCGGCCGTGTAGAATCGTGCCCGGTTGACGTCGAATCTCTGCTCCTTCTGAAGATGATGGAACAGCTCTCCGCCGTTGACGAAAGCTAGTACGAAGTAAAGCTTCTCAGGGGATTGGAAGGTAAACTTAAGAGGCACAATGAAGGGATTGTTAATCTGTGCCAGCACAGATCTCTCGGCTAGAGTGTGGGCAACTTCGGATCTCGAGATGATGTGAGCTTTACGAATCGTCTTGAGCGCGTAGATTCGACTGGTATCCTTCTTGCGGACCTGCATGACCTTACCAAAACTACCCTTACCAACCACCTTGAGTAGCTCGAAGTCCTCGATCTTAAGCTTGCCCGCTCGGTTCTCGACATACTCCACACCGATCTTGAGTCTACCAGAGCCATACTGTACGTCGACCCAATCAACACCACTGTGCCCTAGCTCGCGTTCTCGGGTTTGGAATTCGGCCGCGGCCTTCTCGCGATCCTTCTTGCTGGCTTTGGGATCCTCGACGAAGGTTCGCTTTTCATCAAACCTAGGATTGATTCGGACGACCCCTAGGAAAATATCTTGGCTTCGACCGGACCCAGGCGGCGCGGTAGGGTTACGCATATATAAGTGTACATTTAACTCCGTCACTCGAGACACATCAAACTTATACTGGGTGTTATCACCAGCCCACAAGGGGTTTTCTGGGTTACCGGAGACCGAGTTGACAAAAACCTGGACCTTATCAAAATCCAACAATGCGTACGGCAGATATTTGCTAGAGATCCGACCGTGGTTAGAAGGTATGCCAGTGAAGCCCCCTGCTGATGTTTGGGGTCTGCCATTCGTGAAAGAACCTGCTACCGCTCGTTGGGAGGACCCTGGTCGTACGGAACTAGAACTAAGAGCATTCCCTGTCGACATGGAGCCCTGGCCATGCTGCGAGAATGCGTTTCGATGCTGTTCGGGAAGAGCGAAATTCTGACCCTCGTGGAGAGTTACGACGAGAATACCGGGTTTCGGAGGTTTTACGACAGGTTCTTGTACCATGTGTTCCGAGGCAGCTATAGGTAGAATGTATGAGCAACTTTCCCTGAAGAATAATATGCATACATGGTTACAAACCGATGGCATTGTCACTGGGAGTAGGAGTAGCAGATGTTGGGATAGGACTCTTTTCATCCTTTTCCGTGATTGTTGACGTGGAAGGATTTCGGGAGAAAGTATTCGCAAGGGGCCCTAGATGGGTATCCTTTAACTCTGATGGGACGTCGTGTTAGCAGAACCGCATACGATCGTCGTGCATCTGAAGCGAAGAAAAGAAGCTTGGGCTGAAAGGAAACCATTCGAGGACTATAACAGGTGAATTAAATACTTACTCTTGGTGAGCTTCCACGACATTTTCCAACAGTTCCCCTTTGACGGGCTTGTAGATAGGCGTCAAGTAGGAGGAATAGGAGGAAGTCGGTGAAGGTCGCGCAATAGGAGGTCGGAGACACGACAAGTTGTAAAAGAGGAGATAAGTTATTTAGGAGGTATTGAAGGGGGAGAAGGCGTTTCCTTATCGGCGTTGCGATAGTAAATGATTGATGAGATAAAGATTGGCAGATAGGAAAAGGTCAAAAGTAAAAAGTAAAAAATAGGGGAAGAAAGAAGGAATCAAAAAAGGTGGCTGAGGAAGAAGCAATGATGTCGAATTTCTACCTAGGACGGATTTTCGAGTTGGGAGTTGGGAGTTGGGTTGATCATCAATCAATTAGAAAAGGTCAAAGATCTGAAGTTAACCAGGTCAATGTTTCGGTTCATGGGCTTCTGAGCGGACCAGCCGGGGGGGGTTGAGAAGGGGGGGGCTGTTTCGCCGCAGCAATAAATACCTAATAAATTTAATCTTTAGCGTATAACAGGCGGCTGATACGACAAAGGTAAGTGACTTTTAGGGGTTGTTTAACTGTCTGACTGCTGTAGAGTTGGCGTTTTGGCGGTATGGGGCACCCCTTATTAATGATAAGGTACTTCTAATATAGTAGTTCATACCTTAGGTACATACCTAAGTATGGGTATTTGATGTATTAGAGCACAAAGGCGGGGTAGCACATGCGCGGTTTCTAAAAGTAAGACAACATAAAAGCCAAGCAGCGCCAAAAGTATTGTACATAAAGCTTCCTGGTACCTATGCAGTGTGGGCTGTGTGTGATGCATTTATACATGTACCATCCCGACTCGTGTTCTATTTTTCAAGTTAGTGAATACGAACTTTCAACCTAACCCAACTTTAATCAGAGTTGGAATGTATATACTACGCACTATCTACATACACACTACATACTTGGAATATGATATACGTGATGACATCTATTACCATGTATGTACATTAAGGAGCTTACACTAATCCACTTAGTCAATGGCCTTGACAATGTTGAGCGGAGCGTGGCGGAGCACTTCAGGGGCAGCATTCAAGGGCTGTCAGGTATGTAAATTATCTCAATTATCTCAAGGCCAATTCGCTAACACACGGCTGAGTATATTTTTATTATTGATACAACTACTAAAATATGATTCCAAATTTCTCGGACTTGTCAAATAAAGACTGCGGGTAGAGACAATTGCCGCCCCTTAATTGTCTTGATCCTACCAAACGAATTTCAATTTAGAATACGGAGTATTATTATTCTATGCATTAGGCATTTATGAAGCTAATAATGTAGCACGTCTACAATGTTGTCTATAAGACATTTTCAAATATGATCTAATAATGGTGAGTTAAGTTGATGAATTGTTCTAATAGTATAAAGAAGTTTATTATTAACTAGTATAATTGGGATATTGTAGAATACTGTTTATTGAAATAGATATTGAACTAGATTTATTAAACCAGAAACCTTTAACCTAGCCGGTTACATCCCAAAAGTCTAGAAGCTCATGCAGTCATGTTAACTACAGCTATGCAGGGGTAGAAAAGAGGCCGCTTGCAACAGCACGATGCGAAAACCTTGGCTCGTCCCGAACTACTGGAGACGATTATAAATCACGTGCTTAGAGTGGCGCAGCTATAGTTGTCTACGGGGTTGATGATTGAAGGAATCTGACCTCACTGTCGCTATGCTTAAAGATGAGTGGGAATAAACTGCCATTAAGCATCATCTCGCGGCCGTAGTCTCTCGGTCTCTCGACTTGCCAGAGTCTGTTAAAAATGGCACCTGTTCCCGAAATCCAAGAACACGGAAACCAACCTACAACTACAATTACAGACGGCGGTCATGTTGAAGATAGAGGCATTATGCTTAGCCCCACAAGGTCAAAGGAGCCACAAAACATCAACATCCAAGATGATGGCCAAACTACCCAAGGAATTCCTTCTGAGGCGCCTCGTAGATATATGGAAGGATGGAGACTATACGCTATGATATCCAGCTTGTGTTTATCCCTGTTCCTATCGACGCTAGAAACGACAATAGTCAGCACATCACTCATCTCTATCACAAATACCTTGGGAAACTTTGAGCAGAGAGATTGGGTGGTCACCTCTTATCTCATCACTTATACAGGTATGACTACGGTTTTATAGATATATAACAAGGTCACTTTGCTAACTGCCTATATCATAGGCTTCTTAGTCGTATATGCCAAGTTTAGCGATATCCTGGGACGCAAGTTGTTGATATTGGTCGCGATAGCCTTCTTTACTGTCTTCTCCATCGTCTGCGGCTCAATATCAAATATGACTCAGCTGTGCGTACATCAGTCCTGACACGATAGTATTATAACATATATAACATATGTAATAGCATAACTGATACACTAAATTCTTTATAGGATCGTGTTTCGGGCTCTCCAGGGCATCGGTGGTTCTGGAATCTACGCGATGGTAACATGTATCCAGCCCGAACTTGTCCCACCTGAGAAATGGGGGAACATCATCGCGGTTGTCTCCTTGGTCTCAGTCCTCAGTTCCGTCCTTGGTCCCATACTCGGCGGTGCAATCAACAACCATTCCTCCTGGCGATGGGTCTTCCTTTTAAAGTGAGCACACCCCCATCTAGAATCGAGAATCCATGAAGTGGCTAACATTGAAAATAGCGCTCCGGCTGGAGTAATTGCGACTGGTTTAATAGCCTTCGCTATGCCCGCCCAATTCCCAAATATTGATGACTCGGCGGGCATAATGAGCTTTCACAGCAAGATATCGCGGGCATCACTTCGTCGACTTGACATTATTGGGGCCATATTGTTGCTTTTTTCGTCCGCTCTAATCGTCTTCGCTTTCGAAGAAGCAGGCTCTCGATACAGCTGGCAAAGCCCGACAATCCTAAGCACTATAATCGTCGGTGGCGTCCTATTCATCGGGTTTCTCGGATGGGAAAATGTTGCGGATCGACCAAGAGCCACTCAAGAACCTATCTTCCCTCTTCGACTAATGAAGAACCGCTTGGTTAGCTCTCTTACCATGTAAGACCATAAATCATGGCACTTGACTCGTTTTCTAAATAATCTAGAATCGCCTTTTGCACAGGACCCCCCTTTATGACTGCGATAATCAATCTTCCACAACGCTTCCAAGCGGTCGACGGACTCAGCCCATTTGAAGCTGGTACTCACCTCTTACCTCTCCTGCTTGCCTCTCCTGCTGCCACAATCGTCGCTGGGCAGCTCGCAACGAAGTTCAAAATGCCCCCTTTTTATATCCTTCTCTTTGGAGCATCCATGCAGCTATTAGGAATCGGACTCGCGAGTTCGGTCCGGTTCAAAAGCAGTAATGTCATGTATGGATACGAGGTAATAATGGGCTTCGGGTTTGGAATGGGTCTCGTTTCATTGTTGATATACACACCAATGATAGTAAAACGGTCTGATATGGGTAAGTCACTAGGTTAGGTTAATTGGTTATAAAATGCATATATTTATACGCTGACTTCTAATACAATAGCTGTCGCCATGGGAGCAATAACCCAGATACGAGTACTTGGCGGGACAATAGGATTAGCTATTAGGTATGAGATATACGCGAGTTTAACTTGAACTATTTACTAACGCATGAACAGCTCAACGGTTCTCAACAATCACCTATCCTCCACTTTGCCTGTCCTTCTCAATCCAGCGGACATTAAGCAGATCTCGGACTCTGTGCAGTATATCAATACACTCCCGGACGCAACCCGCGATGCGGTACGCCAAATCTTTGCTGATGGTTTTAATTCGCAGTTGCGCGTTATGATGTACTTTAGTGTGGCGGTTTGGGTCTTCGCGGTGACACTTTGGGAGCGTAAGTTAAGAAGCGCCGCAAATGTTGAAGGCTATTGATTCTCTCCTTGGATACCATTCCCACACCGGTCAGTCGTAGGGTATATGTCTAATGCCATTTCATAATTATCATGTCCGATTACAAGCTCCTCCTACCCTTAGCCAATTGATACCTATATATACCACATACTTGCCTTGCATTCGTTATTATGTATTAGTAAATATCTTGAGGCATTCAAGTGTATTATTATCTAGGAATCTCAAAATATTTATCGCCGGCTTCTCTACCTGTATTCTAGTATTGAGTTCTATCTCTTAATATGCTCGCCATTCCTAACTCTTGCGCAAAGCGCCTTCAGCACCTCTGCGCCTCTTCTATAGTCGTCTACGTCGACGTAAACCATGCCACTAATACGCCACCACCAGACATCCCTATAGAATTCCGTCTGGAAGTACATGCCACTTTCACGGCTCCCGGTCTCTTTGAACCAGTCGCAGACCTTGCCCGCGTGCGCTGGATCAACCTTGTCAGGATCATCAGTGCCTAGCTCGAGTGGTAGCCGCACGTTGGCGAAAAAGCAGTCTCGCAGACAGGATCCTGGAATATCCATGATAGAGGTGTCTAGAATCTCGGCCGCGGCTTCAGCACTGCGCTGCGCTACGTTGTGGCAGTACTTCTTGATAGCAACATCACCACCGCAGACCTTGTCGCGGAAGTCGATGGCAGCTATGAAGAGGGATGGTTAGCAAGCCTCCTAGAATTGACAAATACTAAACTCAGGAGCCATGTTACTCTAGTTAGGCCACAATATCAGAAGGCACGGAGACTATAATAGGAAATATTACTTACCCTGAACACAGAGCCAAGCGGTCAAGTCATCTGTGCCTACATGGATGAAAAACCAACATCAATACCCATAGACTTCTACTCACTTAGGCCATTCTCCCGACCCGCGGTGCACACATACCGGTGAAATCAAACATCTCCGCAAACAGACGCCCTTCGTTCTCATCTTTTAACTGCAAGCTCAATTCTTTCCGAGGCCTGAACTTATGACTCGTCGGCAGCGTCGTCCGAATCAAGTGATGATTCCTACTGGGAACATAAAATGCTGCACATCCTCGCGGCACAAAGAACCACTTATGCAGATTCGTGACGAAGAAGTCGGGGTCTAGGGCCGCAAGGTCGATGTCGACGTGTCCGATCCCGTGCGCACCATCAACTAAGACCAATGCCCCCTCGGCCTGAAGTGCTGGCACCAACCTCTCAAAAGGGACCCGAAATCCAGGCATGCTCACAACCGTGTCTACGACAGCAAGCCGCACTCTCTGCCCCGGCTCCGCGTTGATGCTCCTTGCCGCATCCACCATAGCCTTCACGAGATCATCATCCGACACCGGCCACACGACACGCACAACATGCACCTTGACCCCATGCGTCTCCTCGATCCAAGATATTCCGCGGCCAAGGGAGTCGTAAATGCGCTCGTAGCAGAGAATGACATCCCCATCCTTCCAATCCAGGTTCTTAAGCACGGTGTCGGACCCAGTCGTAGCATTAGGCACGAACACGAGCTCGTCAGCATTTGGACAATGGAGAGCTTCAGCAGCGAGAGCCCGCTGCGGCGCAAGCCGGTCGTGGAACTCGAGCGCGATGAACGGGTCCGGAGCGGCGTCGGCTTCGGCGCAGAAACCCTGATGGGCGCGCCGCACCGACACCGGGACGGTTCCGTACGAGCCGTGGTTAAGTGGCGTGTAATTCGGGCCGAAGGCGAAGTGCGTCTTGCGGAAGGCGGCGCCAAAGGGGACTTGGGCAGAGGTAGATGCTGCTTCCATTGCCGATTTGTCTTCCCCCTCGGGATAGTATATGATTGTCATTATGGATACGGATAAGGCGAGATAAGACAAGACAATGTGAGAACAAGGGATGATAACTGGAAAAAGGATAAAATTTAGGGGGTAAAGTGTGCCGATGGGGTTCGGTCTCGTCTCGGCTTCAGCTTGGGGTGAAGCTTGCCAGGGGGAGGGGGTTGAGTTAGTATCATCTAGTTAGAGTTGGCAGATCTCCTTGCATAGGTAGGTATTTGTTGAAGTGCTGGAGTATCTTCCTTACTGGTTTGTATCGGCTTGCATCGGCTATAAGCGTTAATATCAATAATCGACAATAAAATGTCTTCCTCACGTACTGCTGAGTGAGTTTCTATTAAGACTAAGATTCAAGACTAAGATTTAAAATTTCATTACCATGGTTCATCATCTTTCATGATTCCCATCTAGTTTACAGTAACTGTACTATCTCGAGTAATACTCTGGTATTAATAACGTGTAACTTGACTTATTCATTTCTCGTAACCGTGGCCTCAAATATTCGTTCCTCATACGAATGCCGGATATCCTACAATGACGCAACTAGGCCATCCCAGAAAAGAAAAAGGAAAACGCCGTCCAATGCAGAGCTTGCTGAAATCAAAATACTGATCCATACCATTACACTCTTCCTCGTGCCGTTGTACCGGCTTTTTTATCGTCGGATCATCTCAAGTATCCTCGTATATCGCTTACAACCCTCCGGTTACCAGTCAACTGCCCATCCATTCTGGTCTAAAAACTCTTGGCAGGCTTCCTTTAGTTGAAGGTTTGGCCGTAGGTCGCTGGGGTGCAGTGGCTCTCTTGTCAGAGGATCGGTGGGATGTCTTCGAAGATGCTCCATAATAGACGCCCTTTCGTATGACTTGCCAGTCTTAGTCTATCGGCCTAGTTAACGACATGTCGGAAATTTCCTATAGTCCATAATACTTACAATTACCGGATCGATCATGATACCGAAACTAATATCATCAATTACCCAATCGGGAACCTCGCGCTTCTTCTCTGATGCGGCTCTAGCCTTTTCGAATGTCGATCGTAGCAAGTCGACCTTGTGATTCCACTCCTGCGTAACCTGATCTCTGTCGAGGTCGTTGTCGCACGAGCCGATCATGTCCTCACGTTCGCGCTCCAAGAGGCCGATGGCTTCGTTCTCCAGCTCTTGCCCCTCGCGGACCCTCTGCTTTTCCATTTCGTCCCAACGCTCTTTCTTACAGCGTAGGACCTGGTCGGTAACTGGGCCCAGTGATTTGTCATTTGTCTCAACGCACAAGCGGTGGGCTTGCAGGGCGCTCTCGAGGGCGGCGTCGTAGTCGTGTATGGAGAGCTGGCACTTGGAAAGGAAAAAGTAGGCCTTTAGATTACCTCCGCTGAGCTTGAGACACTCGTTGCAGTCTGAGATGGCCGATTCGTATAATTCGAGTCGATGCCGTGCCATAGCACGATTTGTATACAATGAGGCGTTCGTGTCGTCGGCAATGATGCTATGAAGATCCGAGGACGATTAATTTTGAGCGCCAAACGAACTATGCGCCTTTTATAACTCACGCTTTAGAGTAGAGGCTCTCGGCGCCTATAAAGTCGCCGGATTGGTAGTGTTTGTTCCCATCTTCCTTTAGCTTAAGTGACCTTTCCACGTCCTTCCCCATTGCTACTGGTGTTCGCTAGTAAACTCGGCTGAAGGATAGGTCTTGTTGTTTCGGAGGGTTTCAAGGTTTGGCCATAGATGACGACGTAGATATTGCGCTATCGTCGATCGAGAATGACTATGATGGGCGGAGAGATACGGAAGATACGGATGAGGACTTCTTTGTTAAAAGGTGGCGGATAGTTGTAGGACTGCAAGTATGGATGAGAACAAGCTGTATTAAGGAGAAGGTATTCAGGGTTGTATTATAGAAAATACAGAGGATAGGCTGTAGGATAAGTGAGTAAGTATTATAGAGGTAAGAAAACCGAATGAATTAACAGCGGGAGAATTGACAAGGTGATTGTATGTTAAAGAATAAACGAAACAACCTTCATCTCGTGTTTCCATCTGATTCGAAAGTTCCAGCCTTATCAAATTGGTACCTAGGTTAGGTACATACATTAGGTACATATGTGGTTGTTGCTTGATGCTCGTTACTTCCGTCTCATTACTTCAACTGTCACAAGATAGGTACATAGGTAATAACGTACTACAAAGTACAAGACCCCTAATTGATTAGCTGTGATAGGCCCCATTTGTCAGACGAAGATTCCAGAATGATGTGCATGTATCTAGGTATACATACATAGTTACGGCGCCTAATGCACACACTAGGTACTAAGCCCCGAAACGTGGATCCCTCCATTAGGTCAAGAACTACCTTAAATAGATATATAAGTTAGTTACATACATAGGTGCAAGTACATAATAAGTTTAGGTAATCAGCCAACCGCAGATCCGCTCTCTGGCCCGAAATTCTATCTCTCTACTTCACTTCTCTTATTTCAACAACTACCTGGGTATCGTTCGTACCACTTAACTTCGTATCATTCCTCTGCGGAACAATATCTTGAGACGAAAGCGCTGCAATAGCCATTGCTGTAGTCACCGCGCGATTCCCGATCTTCACCCTTGTAGTTCCATATTGATACAACCAACCACCTTCCCAGCTCCCATCGTCACATTGGAGGCCAAGTAGAGCACGTCGATCATTCTCGCATGCAATCCCCATTTGGGCACACGTGGCGATGCGCATTGAACTGGTGCTGGTGTATCAGGTGACCTTGACCCTGATCATGTGATCATATTCTTAGTATAAGTACCATTTATGGTCGCACACACCCATTTTACATAGTATCATCCACTTTTAATACAAGTCATTCCTTTTCATCATCAGTTTCATCATCTAAAAGTCCTTGATATCAGGTCTAATAGGGCTTGATCCAAGGCCAAGACGTCTAAGTCTTGTTCAATAATTAACTTTAAGGTATAGCTTTTATAAAATAACTAATTAACTTAGAATTAAGAATAGGAATATTCGGCTTTGTTGCGCCGTTGGATATTTTTAACAAGGTTGGTTATAAATTGCGAGTGATCCTTTTGACTAGTGGCTTACCTAGGTATGTAGGATATCCTGGTAGGTAGACAAGTGTCTAGGCGCATTGCATTGGATCATTCGTATAGGTATTCCTTTTGTACTTTTGATGTCTTCGCTTATCCGAGACTTACCTAAGTACGTAGTTATAAGTGGACCCTCGCATCTGACGCTTCGGAGTGCGGGGGTGGAGAAGGAGATATTAAGCCTCTCCCTCTTTGACCTAGATGACGCGATTAGTGTTGTGGCTAAGTCTGTGGCTAAGTGTGGCTTTATAAATGACATCCAGGCCAATTCGACAATATCCATGGCAACTAAACTTCAAACCCTATTATATTTAACCTGATTTAAACCCGTATGGTTTCAACTTGGCCTGATTTGACTTTTCGATATCGCAGATCATGGGGAACATCGTTAGCCAATTCTTCTTCATTCCGGCCCCGGTTCTCACGGAGAAGAACTGTCCTGATCAAACCGGACGAGTAAGCATCTAAGTACCTAACCTATATCATTCTCCCTCAACTCCTGTTATATCGCTGACGTATACGTTCATTTGCCGTAGGTCTTCATCGTTACAGGTGGTTACGTCGGCGTTGGTTACGAACTGTGCAAGATCCTCTATGCCCACAACGCCACCGTGTGGGTTGCAGGCCGTTCCGCATCAAAGGCCGAGAAGGCCATTTCGAATATCAGGGATGCTTCGCCCTCCAGCAACGGTCGCGTAGAATTTCTTTATCTTGATCTGTCTGATCTTAAAACCATCAAACCCGCCGTCGAATCATTCACTGCTCAACAACAGCGTCTTGATGTTCTTGTGAACAATGCCGGTGTACGTCTCTCCTCTGATCTTTCTCTAACCAGTTTTTCATATAACTACGCCTACTTCGTCTATGTATCTGATTCTAACATGCCCCCACTTGTAGGTCATGTTTCCCCCGAAGGGTAGCGTTGACGCGCAAGGACATGAAATGCAAGTAGGCACCAACTGTTTGGGCCCGTTCCTGCTTTATCAGCTTCTCCTTCCTCTCCTTACCAAGACCGCCTCCACATCTCCGACGGCCTCCGTGCGCGTCACGTGGGCCGGCTCCGTCGCCGTGCACGTTACCTCACCGCAGCCACAAGGGATTGTTATCAATGATGATGGTTCACCCACGGACCAAGGAGTGCAACCCAATTACGCTCAAACCAAAGTTGGTAACGTCTTTTTCGCGCGGGAGTTCTCCAAGACGACATCCCAGACCGGTATTGTACACGCGGCTTTCAACCCGGGGAACTTGCGCACGGAGCTGCAACGGCATTGGACAGGTCCAGGCCAATGGGTCATTGTGAGTAGTGCTACGCTTTGTAACTGTTATCGGGATATGTATTGACAATTATTCCTGTCACAGGACAAATTATTGCTATACCCAGCTATCTATGGGGCGTATACGGAACTTTGGGCAGCACTCGCTCCTGAGTTGACACCAGACAAGAGCGGTGCCTATGTTTATCCTTGGGGAAGATTTGGTAGTCTTCCGGCAGGCGTCGAGACTTCGATAAAAGGAGAATCTGAAGGCGGAACGGGAGTCGCAGCTAAATTCGTAGAATGGTGTCGTAAGGAGACGGAGGCTTTCGCGTAAAATTGACAGAATGAGTGTGTAGGGATTAGTTGGCGTTGATTTATAATCTACTTGACTTAAAAATATACCTACCAGGTACCAACTATATATGAAGCGAGGGTATTAAAATCAGTCACATCTCTTAACCAGATAACCTCATAAATCCCCGTGGTGTGCGCGCATGTAAGAAAGGCAATTCCATATTATTGTCGTATTATTATAGATGCGTTTGGGGGCTCTCGGTAAACGAACTAATCAGTTTGATGATTGTGCGGCTAGCTGACCAACATGTAGATATGACTTGGTGATACAGCAGCAAGGCTGTGTAGTTTTACTTTTTAAATAGTTGTAGACGTCCATGCGAGGAGACTCCTTGCTGTCCCCTTCTCTAAAACCATATTTCATCCCCTTCTAATAGTGTTTCCATGGTTCAAAGTCAACAGCCAACAATATGGGGGTTGGGAATCGCATTCCCTATTATTGCTATTATTTCTGTTATGCTTAGGTTTCAGGCTCGCCGAATCAAAGGCCAAAAGTTGGAGTCTGATGATTGGACCATCCTGGTAGCTCTGGTGAGATTCTCTACCATATAAAGCCGCCGGCGTTACCATTTCTAACATGAAGGGTTCTAGATATTTAGCATTGGTGTCACAATAGATATTCTCATTAGTAGGATAAAATACCATATTTATATTCTATCGGTACCAAGTCTAATACATTACAACTTATCAGTGACCCAGCAAGGCGGTTTAGGAACCCATCAACAATATGACGATGACGGATATCCGCTGGATCCCGAATCCACGGTAATCTTCGGCAAGGTAGGTACCTATATTCAATATCATGTTAACCTATCTACTATTACACGATAACTAATTGTGCGTGTGTAGACAACATATGCACTTGAGATATTAACATTGCCAGCAGTAGGACTAACCAAAATCAGTGTCCTCCTGATGTATAAACGTATCTTCACAACTCCAAGATTTAGGACAATGACTTGGATTCTCGTTGGTCTTACAATCGCTTGGACGATAGCATTTGCCTTTGCCTTTGTGTGTACGTCTTTTCCCCTTGATGAAGTACCTGTTTCATTAGGTAGGTAGGTACCTAACTGGTATCCTAGTTTCATGTACACCGATTGCTTCGCAATGGAATCTCGAACTCGAGTCCACCTGTGTCGACCAGGAGGCACTCTTTACCACCGCATTAGCTATAGATGTCACTACAGATTGTAAGCTACATTTATAGATCCATGCTACTTATATATCGGACAGAAACTCATTTATGTATTAGTTACGATCCTCTTCCTACCAGTTTATAAAATTTGGCTGTTACAGATGCCGTTTGCGCGAAAGGTTTCGATCATATGCATATTCCTCCTTGGTGGTTTAGTTAGTATTGTCGGCATTATTCGGATTCACTTTTTAACCCAAATCAACTCTGACTCCGAAGATCCTACCGAGGTAGATGGCAATTCCGTCCTCGAAGACTCTGCCGAGATAGATGGCACGTGTACGTTGTTTCAAACTCACGGCGCGACTTATATAAGAGTAGAAAATGCTAACAAAAGTCATATAGGGATATATACGCAAGTTTTCTACTGGACCATCATCGAGACTCATGTGGGTGTGTTAAGCGCATGTCTCCCAACCCTTCGTCCCATCCAGGAGCAAATTGTCCTCAAGTTCTCCTTCTCCAACCTGCGCGGGTCAGCCGCGCGCCTCCTCTCATTATCCAATGGCAAGGCAAGCAAGGCTCGTAACAGATCCATGGAAGAAGGCCTAACCTTGGACAATATAGAGGTTTCGCATACCTCTGAGGAATCAAGAGCCCCGCATCATTTTTAGAGATTTTTCCTATTAACATAGTAGTTAGCGGGTATGACTTTTCCATAGCTGATCGCAATTGATTAATAATAATATCTAAAATAATATCTAAAGTTACTTGCTACCTTGCCTAGGAGAAGAAATTCGTCGACTTTTGAACCTATCAAACATCCTATAGTGCAATCCTCGATAGAAAACGATTTAAGGAAAGCTACCTACTGCTTGGCCTATTAGCTCATTGGCGCGCCAATTATAACCCCTGCCGCTGGCATCTACGGACGGTGATATTGTGGCTTAGCTGGCAAAGCTGAGGTTTGTAAAGCTTAGTAGTTGCATTGAACCTATATTTTGATGACAATATATGAGCGTGAGTGGGCCTATGAGACAGGGGTTACTTCCTGGATAGGATGCTAGGCGCCTATGCGTTTTATATAGTTGGGCTCAATATCCCCAGAAATATAGCAACTTAAATATTATCTTCAATACCTACTTGGGTGCCTTGTAGGGTTGACGGGTGCTTTAGCACTTATATAACAGAATGTCGGATACTTCGTCGCTCACGAGCACTGAATCAACAGCTGAAGATCTAGGGCCAGCACCGACGCATGATGAAGAGGCAGCGAACCAAGCTAGGCCTCTCCTCTCCGACGAGAAGAATGGGAGACCCCGATACGCTAAAACAGAGATACTATCCAAGTACATACCAGAGCTAAACCCGTCAGACCCACGAGCTATCACCCTCAGAGTCAAGATGGCCAAGAAAACAGCAATGCTGAAGATACAGTTGATAATCTCATCCCTGGTGGTTGCAGTGAGTACTGCTATGACCGTTTGGTCAGTAGTCACGCATAATCCGAATCATCGCGGCGTGGGCACGTATTTTTCTGGTAACTGCTCTAGAGCGAGCATGCTAAATAGTGTTATTCATGCTATAATGAATATTCTTTCCAGTCTACTACTCAGCTCTGGAAACTATTGTATGCAGTTACTTGTCTCGCCTAGTCGATATGAAATAGACAAGGCACATTCGAGGGGAATATCGCTAAGGATCGGCGTTCCCAACGTTACAAACCTGAGGCACATTTCTCGTGGCAGAATGGTTGGATGGTTATCTCTTGGCTTCACAGCAGCTCTTTTACATTTCGTGTAAGTCTCCCATTCACATAGCTAAATTGATTATAAGCTGCTAATGCTGCTAATGAAAATCGATAGTTGGAACTCGGTCATATTCACGTCATTACCTATAGTATCAATTCCACGTGCCTTAGCCACAGCTGATTTCCAAACGGCACCGGACAACTGGACCACCAGCGATCCCCTACCACAACGTTGGTGGTGGAATTTCCCATCTGGTGACAGATGGGGCACTGTGAAATACGACCTAGCGCCTGTTTATACCATGAAGACCAATGTGGCCAGTTTAACGCGGCTCGACCCGGTGGAATGTGTCAACGAGTACTTGAATCCGTTGAAATCCACAAGATCTGTTTTGGTTGTTGCTCATAATATGACAGCCGAACACAATAATGGTTCATCCCTCCTCGATGGGTGGGTGAGTGGATGGGACTACTGGGACGCTGGTAATTACTGGCTATGCTCCGCATATGACCCCGGAGAGTATTCAAAAGTATGCAGCTCAGAATGGGCTGATACGTTGGATGACGGTTGGGTAGTGGGGAAGTCTGCTGGATTTCCAAACATTCTTGTTGATCATTGTTTGGTTGGCGATGAGGGTAACAATGAGGAAAGATGCGGACTTCATTATAGTTTGCATATCATGATCATCGTTTGCATCTGCTCTTCGCTGCAATGCCTGCTCGTTCTCTGGACAAATATATACTTTCGCAGATATAGTCCATCTGGGGAAAGTGGAAGGCGTCGACGTGTTTTAATCACTATTGGAGACGCGATCACTGATTTTCTATACGAGCCCAGTACCGAAATTAACGAAGAACGCGAAGGCCAAACTGGCTCCAACACCGCAAAAGGAGATTTCTACCAACTTCGCCTAACGCAATGGAACGAATATCAGAGTTACTGGTTCACAGCCGTCAGTATTCGGACTTGGACTACAGCACTTATTATGTTAGTGTTTCTACAGTACATTTTAATATACCCTTGCAGTTTAAACTAATGGGAATCACTATCCAGGTTTAGTATTGGCCTAGCAGTGCCTTCCGGTCTCATTGGAGATTATATCAACAGGCTCAAAACTGAGGGTATGAATCTATCATTTTTCGATATATGGGGGTTGGGATTCGAAACCAATCCATCGATGATAGGCCACTCTTTCTGGAAATCACAGGGAGAGGGGGGTGTAGACCTTATCGGAAACGTCCTTGTTGCCAACTCTCCTCAGGTGATAGTGAGCTTCATATACCTCTTCTACAATTCTATCTTGACAAGGCAGCTGGTAGCAGACGAGTGGACACGCTTTACCCGCCCCGAGGGAAAGAAACCTCTCCGCGTGACCTCGCCTGTCGGCATGCAGAGGTCTTCATACTTCCTTTCTTTGCCTCTGAAATACTCTATCTTGCTTATGATAGGTTCTATTCTATTGCATTGGTTCATATCTCAGGGAATATTCGTTGTGCAGACTAGCTCGTTCGGTCCTGGAGCTAATGGCGAACGACATCCGGAATTCGATGTCTCTGCTAGAGGATATTCGGCATTAGGAGTTCTCTTGGCTATCATCCTGGGAGCGGTATTAGTGCTGGTTCTCGTGGTTAATAGTTTTGCTAGAAAGTTCCAGAGTGTTCCAGCTGGCTTTCAGCTAATGGGGATGAATAGTTCAGGTATTAGTCTAATGTGCCAGCGACCGGAAGAGGATTTTGACGCCCATCTTTTTCCTGTGAGGATCGGTGTCGTGTCTGAGGGTGAGAATAATGAGGAAGAAGTAACACATGTGAAAGAGAGTCGGATAGTTTTTTCAACTGCTATCGACCTTGAACAACCGAAGGAAGGATCATGGTATTTACAACCCACTTTAATAACAACAGGGAAACGGGCAAGACGCAGATTTTTCAGGTGGCAGAAGAAGGTATAATAATTATTAAGATGACTAGGTTAGGTTACCTCTTTTTGTATTATTATAAATGGGCAAAACGTATGATGGTTTTCCATTTTACTTTCAAGTTGCGAGTGAATGAGTCGTGATAATTCGAAATGAATAATATATATTAGGTAGGTATATATAAACGCTGGGACCTAGGATTCGACATTCGAATTGACTGACCAGAACGGGCTGACCTACTTGCGGCTCCTCATAGGGGTCGAACCCGAGACTTACGAAAAACTTCTCGAGGAATTATTTCTGGCTCTATTTCATGATCACTGAATTTCTACTCTATTTCGAGGGCGCTGTGCGCCTTTTAATAACTAATCCTAGTAGATCTACCCCTGAATCTACCCCTGAATCTACCCCTAGCCCATTTGTTCCTTGATAGTCCTGTCTTTAGCGTATTTAGGGGTACCAATTGATTAAGTAGATTTTAGACGAAGCAAAAGTTAGTATCAAAGATAGGTAATTAGCACTATGACATTTCTAATCTCTTGTCGTTTTCGTGAGAATCTGAGGTTGATTTTTCAGGGCCAATATGAATTACTCCCACTTGGCGCACTACGAAGTATGTCGGGATGACAGCAATACCCCATAGGGCAAAACTAACCCCCAAAGCTGATATTAGCTGTGAAAGAGTTAGTTGATGGTCATAGAGACATGGATTGATTGTGTATTGACATACTGGTGCTGAAGTTGAGCTAATGCCGCTCGAGATGCATTGTCCAGCTGACTCTGTAGCTCTTGCAACCGACATATATCTGACAATATCTTTGGGTTCCCTGGCTAGGAAGCTGATAATCCAGAAGCCAAAGTTATACGTGAGTGAGAAGTTGATTTGCCAGAAAATATATAATGCCCATCCTCTCCCAAATCCACCATCGTTCCAGTCCAAGGCTGGTTTATGGTGCGTATATTCGTTTTGTATGATGACCCCCCAAATCCAGCAACCACTAATGAGAATCATCATGGCTATATACCCATATCTAGCTCTCTTATTTAGACTGACTCTCGTCCAATCCAAGAAAGCACCGAATACGAGGGTTGTGATAACTTGGGCGATCGCGGACACAAGAGAAGCCAAAGCGCGAGAACGGACTGAGAAATATAGGGATAAGTAGGCACTAATATATGGGAGCTCCCATGTGACGTATACAAAGTAAGGCATACTATTAGACCCAAGGTCAGTATGGCATGAGGTACCTAGCCTATTGGATTTAGATATCGCCAAAACCTACATTAAGAGAAAGTCTCTTCGTAGCAGAACACGTGTCAGGGCCTTTAGCTCTTCAAGGTCTGATATCCTATCTAACAGGTGGACACGCGATCCATTTCTGCGGACGACCTTTTCGGGCGGGGTCAATAATAGGGAACACACCGGCCCCAAGCATTCTAAAACATAAGTTAGACACTTCGGTAACTGTCACGGGCACAGTCGGAACTAACGTAGAGCAACAAAGACGATATAGGTTATCCAGTCAAGTTTGCCCGTCGTCTTTCCTTGGTAGTTGAAGGCAAGGTTAATAATACCACCGAGTATAGAGCCGCTGTTGCGATAACTGAGCCAATAAGCCAGGTACCTGCCACGTTTTTCTGGCTCGGGATAGCTCAGCATAATGGTGCCTTCTGTTGCCCAGAAAATCCCTGCTGAGAGGCCGCAGACTGCCGAGCCTATGTATATGAACCATTCCGTACCGTAGCGATTATTCGTGTACAGAGCTGCCGAGTAGATCACATAACCAACTGTGCCGACTACTAAAGAGTTCCGCAAGCCGAATCGGTTGGCCATCATACTTCCAGTCAGGCACGTCAGCGTCATGACGGCGAATAGAATAGCATTTCCCGCCCTATATACTCCATTAGTCGAGGCCAATTCGTCCTTTTAAACCCTTACATGACGAGATACGGGGTCTGCTGCCCCCCAGCACCAACCGAGTTCATCGCATTCCATAATCCTGCCGTCACAAATGCCGAAATGCCAACAACTGTTGCGTTGAAAAAGACTCCATGATACCAAGAGTATTTTGGTGGGCTTACATCAACTTCTTCGCTGGGCGGTGATGCATCGGTAGGATCACACGTTGCTATATCGTCTGAAGACATACTATGCGATAAGTTGCCAGATATTAAGTAGAAATTCGTAGCTTTTGACTCTCTTCATAGATTAGGTACCTATAGCTGCTTATAGGTACGTCAATATTGGCCCCTCTCGGTCTAAAGATTACCTATTATACACAAGTTTTTAAGAATACAATGGTATCAGCCCCTCGATTGGAACAATTGCGTGCTTCGAATCGGCTTTTTTATTACTTTAATCGTGAGTTGCATTGTGCTCTGAACCTGGTTCCTGGGACGCTGCGTACGCATGTGGCAGTTCTCAACCATCTGATTAACCAATCATGAATAGCATGGCCACACACTCGCCTACTAAGGAGTAAAGCTAGTCAACCTTTATGGAATAATGCTGCAGAATAGATTGGCATGCTACACATTCGAGGGGTATGGCCTAATTTAAAGGTAAGCAGCCAATGAATAGGTCTGCCTAAGGGGAATTGCGGAGATGTATAAGTTGCGACATTCCAAATGTCATTGACGTCTTTTGAGCCCGTTCCGATTCGTGGAAGAAACAAAGATTTACACCTCACAATAACTGTGGGTTAATTTGGTCATCGCGAGACATACTTCTATATTAGTACAGGAGATCATGTTAGGTTGAAAGATTAATCCAGCTCGCTGTAATATAAGCGTGCTAGTCCAAGATGTCTGAACATGATCGTTTCGAAGCTTTCACATTCTCTGGCCAGCAAGAGACAGCCAGGTTTGGGTTGAACACCGACACATTATTCCCATTGGCACTGAAACCAGCCAAGGAGTGGGATCCCACATTAGAAGAGTCTATACTAGCCATAAAGAGACTATCAGAATCTGGCGAATTGTTCAATAAATTGAGGGAGCATGGCGGCGCGGTTCTCATTCGCGGGCTACCTATCAAGACGCCTCAAGAGTACAGTGACGTAGCTCATGCATTCGGGTTCCCGCCTCACGAAGAGGTTGGCCGACCGCCATTACGAACGGTGCTGGCTAAGAATATCAAAACAGCGAATGAAGGGTAAAGTCCAGAAGCCTTTGTTGTAATGACGTTGCTAACCTCTAAGAGTCCCGCGGAACTTCCTATCTGGCCTCATAATGAGTACGGCTGGTCGACGATAAACCCCTCGTGGTTAACATTTGCTTGTCTACAAGCACCCCAGTCTGGTATTTAATTGGAATATTCAACATCTTGTCTAACCCTACTATGATCTAACTTGCTTTTCAGGGGGCGAGACACCAATTATCTCTAGTCTTGGCCTGGCAGCCGCATTGAAGGAACGGGAACCTGAGTTTATCGAGAAGTTGCTTCAAAAAGGGGTTAAATACGTGTATAGATACGGGTTGGAGGACGTAAAATCGAACACAGGGACAAGTATCTTTGGCGCATACGGCCAGCATGTGAATCCAGGCGACGATAGGGAGGTTATTAGGCAGAAGATTGAAAATGAAGTCCGACGGCACAGTAACCACTTTCAATGGCATGACGATGGTTCATTGAGCGTGACGCATATCGTTCCCAGTAAGGTTCTCCACTTCATACGTCTAAAACTCGGAAACTGATGATGAGCATAGTTATTAGGAAGCATGAGGACACCGGCCTATCCACATGGTTTGGTAATGTTACGAGTGCATGGGGCCGAAATAAGTACCATGGAGCGACAGAACCTCCCTACCGAGGCGACGACGACTCATATCATCCGCCTCCCGAGTATGGGGATGGTACACCGATAGAGAAAGAGTATCTCGACTTAGCACTCTCACTGGCAGAATCTCTCCAGGTATTAATTGAATGGCAAGTTGGAGATATTGTCCTACTCGATGTATGCATGCCTGTCTTTTAGAATGCCTGCCTCAACCAGATCTCGACCATCTTACTAATGTGCCAATAGAACTATGCAGTAATGCATTCGCGTTCTCCGTGGACTGGCAAGAGAATAGTGCTAGCAGGCTTATGGGATGACAGTCGAGTGTGATGATTCTGATAGGAAGTACAGCGAATGTGTTATAGCTACCTACCTATCCAACTAGCGTTAACACCTCCGAGGTCTGTCTATCACAACTGTGAGCCGTAGTTAAATACATAAATAAACCACCGCCTATAAATGACGCAACTATTAGTGAGGTTTAAGAACTCTACTCCCTTCTCTGACAACATGTTGTGTTTTTCGCATCAGCCATCGACCCCGCTTGGCTCGTGCAGTCCCAGAACTCAAGGCTGCCAAATACCTGGTACGTAGGTAATCCGGAATAGGAGTTGATGCCTACAGGTAGGTACCTAACCTAGGTAATCATAGAACGCGTAACAGATCAATAGCATGGAATTGTTTCCAAGTCACATGCTAGATATGCAAGAAGGAATCAGCCAGTATTTTCACGAACGGAGCATCAAGAATAGGAGTTCCAATAATGACGGGACGCCACATTGGTACATGCCGTGAAAACTATAACAGGTACCTACCTGAATACAGACGAGGAAATCTCTAGGTGCACCTACAGTGGGTGGCACAGCAAACGGAACAGGTTGGAAGTTTTATCGACGGCTAGGGAGGCGCAGGCTGCCGTCCAAATGTCGATAGAGACTAAAGTGATCTATCAACTTGTCAACTTATGAAAAGCCGCCATTGACGGCCAGACGCCTTGCCAGTTAACACCGTTGGGTACGCACATTTTGAGCAAAACGAAGCCATATCATTGTTTTCTTCTTATTAAGTTATTATTTTCACTATTGCCGAGTCCTCCGATGCTTGGCTTCCCTCCGCACTAGAGCTCTACTTAGACAAGCACAACAAGCCGTGATGTCACGGGATAGCTTCATTCATCCCCGTACGGCAGAACTGCTGTTCTACCTTCCAGAGCTGAAGTTTGATCATGCCGATCACCCCCCAGATATCGCGCTTTCATGGGAGTGCTATGAGTTTTCCGCTAACATATTAGCCACTGCACTCTCGCAGAAATGCAGCCAAAGAAGTATTAAAGAATACCTCCAACGATTTCCTCGGGAGGAAGTTAGTAGGTCTCTGGAACATTACGTCAATGGCCCTCGTATCATGACCTATGCAGTTGACACTGGAAACACCGAGATCGTTCAGCTCCTTCATGAATATAACGGCAATGCCAATTCTGAAGACTTCGAAGATAATGTCCCGCTATTAGCATTTGCCATTATGCGTGCTACAAGAAATGGACACACCAGCTTGGAAATGGTCAAATTATTGCTATCGTACGGAGCAGACCCTCTAGCGATACCTAAAGAAATGTGGAAGAACTATGTCAAAACACCAATCGCGACGAAATACGACAGAGATAACATTTTGGATTCCGAGAGATGGTGTGTTGACGAGTACAGGCTTATACTAGCCAAGTCACTTGACCTGACGACTCGGTATTATCTCTGGAGGGCTAGTCGTCTCGGAAAACCCGCAAGGCGTATGCTCCAGATAACTGCAGCCTTGAAAATGACAGCACTCCTGAGATTGCCTTTCCGGATTATTGGCCAGGAGTTAACTGTGAAACTAGTTATAGATACAGTCTATACTCATATGGCACAAGACACCGAGAAGCCTCTTGTGGTAGCTTTTGCGGGTGCTTCTGGTCACGGAAAGACAGAACTCGCTACCCAGATGGGCTCTTTGCTGTCGATTCAGAATATTAACATTGATTGTACTCATATCAATTCTCACATGGCACTATTCGGTAGCACATTTGGCTACGAGAGCAATGCTAATGGCGCACCACTAAACAACTTCCTTGTGGATAACCAAGGAAAACGGTGCGTTGTGTTTTTAGACGAGTTTGACAAGACCGATTATGATACACGAAATGCACTACTCAAGGTCATGGATGATGGTACGCCTTTCCACAGTCGGATTTTCTTGGCATATGAATAACTTACATCTTACTAGGCACATATCGTGATCGTCGCGGGGAGTCCGATCATGCCGAATTAGATTGCCGAAGAGTTATTTGGATCCTAGCTACGAACTTGGGCAATGATGCCATCTCTCGATTCCATTCGCAATATCTTATTAAGTGTAGCAACGATGAAGATAGGGCGAATATATCGATTGAGCCCCTCCAAAACGAGCTCGAAGAACTCTACATGAGTCGGTTTTCGGTTAGTTTATGTTTGCTTTTATATATCTACACTAGAAAAATGTCTCGCATCATATCGTATTGACTATTTTATAGCCCGCGGTTACAGGCCGCATTGACGAAATCGCACCGTTCTTCCCCTTCGACAAGGGTGAGCAGGCTGTCGTCGCTCACAAATTCCTTCTCAAGTTTATAGATGAAGTTCGATGCCCTATCGACGAAGGAACCAACCGCTTGGTCGGCCACACGAATATCCGCGTAATTGAAGACGGGAAGGTTTGCGAGGAGATAGCTAGGAAGTGGTACAAGGAAAGGCTCGGGGCGCGGTCCATCTATAAGGGTGTTCGGACGTTAAGACGCAAGTTCATCTTGAAGTACGTCGACATGGATGGCCTTGTAAGTGATGGCGTGAATAAGGGAGATTGTGAACGATATGTAATACAACTGAATCCCACGGTGGAGGATCGCGAAGAGCTGTCCATCTCGCGAATAGGTCAGGAAGAGATAAGCACCCCTACAAAAGCATAGAACTATATATCTATCAATTATTCTTCTTGCCTTTCAGCCAATCGTTTTCTAACCCAGTAGAACCCAAGCCCAATGATCCATACAATGATAACTACAAGCGCCAACACGGGTGCGAAGAAGGCACCTCTAATTACCACAAACCCGCTAACTATTGCGAATATTACCGGAACCAGAACATATGGTTTATATGGCCGTCGCAGTCCTGGTTCGCGGAATCTAAGAACAATAGCGCCCAGAACAGTTAGGAAGAAGAAGGAATACTCGCCCAGCCCATTAAAAGTCAAGAGAGCACGGAAATTCCCAAGAAGGATGTATAAGGCCGAAAGGATGGTTGAAAGTAAGATGGCGTTGATGGGAGCATCCGATCGTGACGCACTAGGGGAGCTCTGCTCATCTTCCGTCCTGGGTTTTAATCCGATACGGCCGACGGAGGCGAAAATACGAGGAAACCAGTTCATGTTTGCCGCCGCGACCGCCATGCGACCAGCGACAAACGAATTACCAAGGAGGGAGCCGGCGACGACTAGGCAGATAAGAGCGGCGGCGGCAATGCCAAACCCTTGTCCAAGAATACGAGTGATAGCAGTCTATTCAATAATTTAGTGGACATCACGCCATATTAAAAAGATTGTACTTACCACAGCGACACTGTCTGTTGTCGAGACCACGTTCCATGGAAGTAATATGTAGTAGGCAGCATTCGCGGTTATGAAACAGAGTATTATCGTCGGGATGGCGCTATTAATTGCGAGTGGAAGTTGACGCGCTGGTGATCGAAGCTCGGCAGAGACATAAATTGCCTATGAAGTTATTTGAGCAATCCATCTAAACCAACATCGATAGAATAGAAACTCACCTTATCCCACCCAGAGTAAGCCCATAATGCCCCATATAACGCCGCAGAATAATGACCAAGAATCTCCCATTCACCGAGCTCATTCCAATCCGTCTTGCTCCCGTCGGGGTTAAGAACTTCTCTATTGCCAAACCAAGGCTTCTCGAACCAGTCTCGCCCTCCAATATCCCTTTCCGGGTCGGTGGTCTGAAGTATGACAACTACTATTCCAGCTATCACAATTCCTGCGATACTGATGAACTTCGTGACCACAAAGAAGTTATTGAGGCGAGTACTGGCTTTAGTACTGATAGAATTGGCGACACTAATGACGATCAGAATGAGAATAGAAAATAGCTTATGTTCAATTCTCCCGGCCTGATCAGTCACTCCCATCGCAGAGTAAATGCTCTCGACGAACACGATACTTAGAATGGCGAGGGTAGCCGGCATGACGGCTACAATCCATGTCCAGGCGGCGAGGAAACCGAAGACATCTCCGAATATATATTGAAGATACGGCTGCACTCCGCCTATGATATAGCTTAGCCGCTATATCTCATTTACGAATATACCAGACAAGTTATATATGAGATTAACTCACCTTCGCCAGGAATCGCTGTTCCCAGCTCTGCCATGGTCGAGGCGCCGGTCCACGCAAGCACGCCGCCAATTAACCAAACAACCAAGGCAGCGCCCGGGGATGGTACGTTGGTGTCTATAGATCCGGGGGAAGTAAATATACCGCTTCCGATAACAATACTGATAACTATGGCGAAAGCCTCGAGAGCGCCGAGGTTCTTAGTGAATGTGCCCGCATCCCGGGTCGGAGGCGGTGGCGGGGCATCACCATGTGTTGAGCCAGCATCCTGCTCATCTCTTTGGCCGGCAAGGAGAGGCCTGGAGACCCCGTCTTCGATTTCAGATGACGATGTCATTTTATTGAGGCTGACTGATATCTCAGATCGTTTATTCGAGCGTATCTTGAATAATTGTTGATGAGGGAATGTTGAAGCGGAGTTCAATCAATCACGCAATTCTCTTATTGAACGCGGGGCATTTACATAACTTAACCGTGCCCCCTTTTTTAGCCATTTGTTAGCTGTTAACACGTTATTGCTTCTCACTTAAGTCTCATCCCTGTTGACAAGATCAAGTTCTACATAGGTTAACCTAATGAGCTAACAATTCATAGAAGGTATCTTAGTTTGATATTTTCATTAACTGTTATATTTACCCTACTTGCAGCTAGAATTCGATTAACCACCTCCTTAGGAGGCATCTCGCAGTACAGGTCTTACTATTTTCACAATTATGAATATCCCACAATTTACAAGCATTACCCAAGTCGCAACCTAAAATACCACAAGTGTTTGTTCTATTGAAGACTCATACACAGGCAAGTGAACCAAAGTACAATAACTTTTTAACTACAAGAGCTTTTGTCAATGTCATCTTGGCTACTTCTCATGCTCGATCCTCCAGAATAGGTACTAATCTCCTTTTTTCGTTCCATTGAAAGCCAGGCGGTGGAACTACCTTGTCGCTGCTACCGCCGTGCTGAAACTCCAAAACGTCGTCCATAAGGGGATGCGCCAGAACCTCCTCGTCAGTCAAAGATTGTCTATATATGTAGTCATCCATGAGGCAGTAGGACATCCATAATTGAGAGGGCACATTTTTAGGCTTCTGGTATAGCCGGCGTCGGTGCTCCATATCAGGGATCCAGCGTTCCGCTCTCTGAAGGTCGCCGGAATGTCCCAACTCCTCGTCGGAAAGCAGGAAGTCATCCATGTACATGTCCTCTTCCGACTTCTCCTTCTTACCGCGTCCTCGCTTGGCTTTGGGTAGTTTCGGGGACGGCAGGCTTTGAATACCAGGGGACTTTTGCGGAAAGCTCTTAGGAACACCAAGAAGCCCACTCTGTTCCAGCCATGCAGATTCAGGATTCATTGAGGATATCTTCTTCTCAAGAGCCTTTGTCGCCAATGCTCTTGCTTTCGCATGAGACATAGCCCCTTTCTTCCTACGGTATCTCGTTTCAAATCTGGGCGATTTCTTCGGCGATCCTGGACCCGACGTGTGTCCTTGTTTGGGGCTCTTTAGTGTTAAGCTACCCAGTCTATGTTTATCCCGGGCGGCGCGCCGGGGCTGCTGCCGAACTGGCGCATCCATTTCACTTTTTTAATGCAATATCCGGAATAGGGCGTTGGACTTGCATTGATATGGTCGACTGGATTTTTCTGGATTGAAAAGTTTAAGTTCGGAATAGTTATGATAAATAATCTAGCGGTATAATACTACGAGACATTCACAAAGGCACTTGGCTATCATGCGTGGGATTGTCAAGAAACAAAGAAATTCTTATCAATTTCATATTCATTTCCTTGTCAGTAATAATCAGCCATACTGTATGGTTGTTTCGACGCAGAATCTTTGTCGGGGTACAATGAATAGTGTGTGCGGCCAGAAAACTAATCCGAATGGATGGATCTCGAATTGTTCTATTTACAGATTGGTTTGCTAGCCCTTCTACGCAGATCAAGTAGATGCTTTATGGGACACTTGTATGCCACTTACTACATATTCTAGGAAGGGGTATCTAGAGATCGCAATGAGATTTCTTCAAGAAAGTTAAGGCGAAAACTAGGCAAGATAGAAAAGATAAGTATATACATCTTGATCAATTGTACAAGCGAAATGTAAAGTATGTCCAGGGCAGACGAAGAGAACATAGATATGATACAGCAATAGTTCGTGGTATAATTTTAAAAGACTTGCCGGAAGTCTCTTCGAGTGACCGGCGCAGAGAACTTAGTGCTTCAGGTCTCGGGGGTGACGCTTGGCAGCGCGTGCCTTGGTATCTCTCTTGAAGGAGAGGTTAGAGACCGCCGGTCCGGGAATTTGATATGACTCAAGATCGACCCAGATATTCAGAGCAACACCAGGGTCGCTGCTGTGATACATTTCAGTAGCAGGCATACCCTCCGGTTGCTGGTCACCAGAGCCTGAGATCTCGAGGTTGATGCACTATTTCAAGTCAATAAATACATACGCATATAAAAATGTTTTGGGGTCAAGTTTCTACTAACCTGGGGGTAAAACTCTGCTTGACCTTCATGGGCCTTGTGCAATCCAAGAACCTCATGTCGGAGGACGTAAGGGCCAGGCCGGATGTTCGCGGGAATCGTGACCGTAAATGTGTCAACAAACCCTTCTCCCTCCGGCTGAACGATCTTGTGGACTTCGGTAGTAGCCCACTTCTGGGTTTCCCACTGAGGGCTATCTGCCATACCGCCCTTAACGAGACCGTTCTCAAAGAACTTGAAGAATCGAAGGTTGTTCTTGTCGACATTGGCGCAACCAGCATCACCGCACGGAGCGAGATAGTGCATCTCGGGACCAGGGTGCTCGAAACCGCCTATCGTATTAAAACGCACGACATGCAGTTGAGAACCGGCAGCCACTGGGATCGAGGCCTGAGCATTTGTCGCTCCAAGATGGCAGATGATATCGGGGCCGCTGAGTGATGTTACCGGAACTGGTCCCTCGTCTTCCGTCGTGAATTGCCATGTGACAGCTTGACTTTGATCTTCGGTTGACCAACGCTCATAACCCGGATAAGTTACACCGTCGACAATTACTCTTCGAACGTGGCCATGGCCTAGGACTGCCTGTGCTGAGGCGGCCAAAGCCAAAAGTGTTGCACTTAAGGAAGGCATATTGGGAAATATCAAGTTTAGTATTTGAGATTAATGATAGTGATTCGAAAAAGAAAGAAGGCCAGCTTCGAAATTGCTGTATGTGTGAATGGGCACCTGCGACCTAGCGTTTACTGCGGAAACGAGAGTTCATGATGGAAGCAAGACGTTATTGTTCATTTCTTAAATACATGATTATAAGTGTCGATGACGATGAAGGCGTCGCGCTTCTGCGAAACATTGCCAAGCCCACACACTTTCTATGATGCCTAGATACAGCTCGACTTATACCATATACAATTTTGGCATGATAGAAACATGTTTCAAAAGTAGATATAGCATCCGAAAATGGCAGGTGTATGGAATACTTAGCTTGAGGATTTAGAATCATCTATTAATAAAGGGGGCCAGATACTCCACATTTACTCTCACTATCACATGTAGCATCCTCTTCACTTTCTCTCAATGACCTGTCAAATCGTGATCATAAACCTGAATCTCCCTTGAGCTGATTGTAATGAAGGTTATTGGTGTGTAATGTGACAGCGAACGTGTTGAAACTAAAATACTTAAGACAGGGTTTGGATTATAGTGCTTACAGGTAGCTAGGCAAACAGTCTAGCACTCATAACTCTTAGGTTCACACTCCCTATCTAAGGGTTACAATACAGACTATACACATCTCATAACTTTACATGCTTCAAAATTGACCTAGTTATGCTATTCGTACTGAATGATATTTATTCAGGAGTGTTGCCATGCATTTTACTACTAGGATAACGCCTTTTGCCGTAGCAGAATAAAGCAATACCTCACATAATTAATATAACGATGGCTCGGACTCATTAGCCTCAATCTAACAACTTCGGCCCAGTCCAGGATCTTTTGTTCTTGGTAGTGAGATGCATCAAACGCATTTGACTTGCACTAAGCGCCGAGGAGCATGCGAAGTATCCGTAGGCGCATTCATATTAGGTAGCTAACTAGTTGCCTAGAAATAATATAAGCAAGGTATTCAAAATAGCAAGTCAGAAAGGATCTGGAGAGCTTATGTAGGGCCATTCCACCTTTCCTAGGATTTGACCTCGCTAACCCGAATTAGGCCTTGTTCCTGACTATCAAGCTCAAAATGAGCCTGGTTACGATGTATCGGCCGATTCTTCCCAAACTTGCTCCGCCATTAGCGCCAAGCACTCGGTGAAGGACATCGAACTCCACTTTGATCGCCAACGATGCACATTGACGATCTTCCATTGCTACGTAAGATCCTTGTCAGGAATTCGTGCTAGGTTTCGATAGGGACCCGATAGAAAACAGATCATCTACCTACTCCCTAATCCATCTGAGATAGCCTCGCTGATAATTACATAGTAAGTCCTTGGAAGTAATATGGATCTTGCGGCCAGGACTTGAGCCCCAAGCCAAATTTGAGATATACGATAGGGTCAAGAAGCAGCATCGCCATAAAGGATGCATCACGCCGGGACTCGAATATACGCCGATTCTTCCTTTATGGGCTATAAAAACTCAGGTCAAATGCCATCAAGCATTCCACTGCTATTACTGAGGAGACAAAAGGTACAAGTAGATGTGCAACTAAAAGTCAATAAGTCAGTCTATACTCGGGCAAGGATTCGAATACGCGAGTCGAATATATATGTAATACTGCGATACTCGCTTAAACTGGGTAATATCGACGTTTATTCTTAAGTGTATTTTATCCATGTCCGCGTCAACTCGCCGTTGCTACCTAATGTTGCCGGAGCCGAAACGCTTAGAACCCCGGGACTTAATTCAGTTTTAAGCGTTTCGGCGTTGCTCTAATCGGCATTACTCCAATCGGCGTTTTCGGGGCAAGTGGGACGGCAATTCTAGTGCCCATCACATCCCTAAAGGTTCCGCCGACGGTTACCATCTTTGCTTTAAGCTTCATGGGGCGGGGAGAAGTGGATAATGGAACGTGTGAAATATATACAGAGCTTGGATATCAACTTTTCCTGTAGGATATTAAGAACTTTACATTATATGGTAGGTAGTTAAGGAGAAGCAATTGTCAATCCTTGCAATGTTTATAGTTCTCCTATGCGGACATAGGGGTTAAAGAGATATCAGTCAGTTACAATACCAGAAAGAATCACGTTGTCTCTGCCGCTGATAGCAGTTGCATAAACAATACCAGGACTCTGGACCCATCATATCCAGGTTTCTCATTATTAGAGTCGCAATCTTGGCGGACTTTATCGAGTCAATTCCGCTAATCTCCGTCCAACAATTACACTTTATAGCAATCTCCATCTTTATGTTGGATGGGAAAGAATCCGAATATAGTAAATTAAGTCAAGCAGCAAATAATAAATACCAAGACCTTACTGTCCTAACGTTTCTACGTCAGACTCATTTCATCAATCATAGACTTATCCCTTCAACTCATCCGACTACATAGTTAGAAGCATTGAGAAATGCCTTCCAATAACAGCGTCAAGACGGCGCTATCGCTCATCGACAGCGATAAGTCCAAGGTTCTGGGCTTAAGTGTCGGCAAGCATGTCAACGTCGAACCTGGGCTGTATATTCCAAAGGCCGGTAAGTGTATGTGGTATATGGTTAAAGATACAGTTAATTGGAAAACACTCGACTGTTGTTTATGGAATATACCAAATTCGAGCTAACTTAAATCACCTAGACGCTCAATCAGAGCCAGAAATCAGCTTCGCATCGGCGTCGCCCGAGAAAACTTACATAATAGTGCACCTCGACCTCGACGCTCCGTTCCCATCCTTCAGCGTGTTAGGTCCGGTGCTCCACTGGATCCAGTCGGACTTGAAACCTACGCCAGCAGCCGACGGTAACGGATTCACCCTCAAGTCTACGGCACCCTTCATAGTAAATTACATTGGTCCTGCGCCGCCGCCGCCAAGCGCGCCACACCGATATGCGCTCTTCTTATACGAGCAGCCCGAGGGCTTCGACGTCAAGAAACATGCACCGGCCGGCGGGAAGCCTGTCGGGGTTTCGCGCCGCATGCGCTTCGACTTAGATGGATGGGAGAAGAAGCTTAAGCTTGGGCCTGTGCTCGCTGTTAATTACTTCAGTAGCAATTAGGCACTATAGCTTAAAGTACATCTGCGATCTTTTACTCGGGGAGATTTACAGCCTGTCTTCAGTCAACAGAGTAACGTTTTTTTTTCTGTGTTTTTTTTCTGTGTTTTCTTTTTTCTGTATTTTCTTCTTGGGCTGGAGCGGTGACGGACAGGGCCGGATTGCGATATTATTAGGTCAATTTCGGTGCCTTCATATACCCACAATATAGATCCCAATGCTGAATTGTCGGAATTCTTACTGGTTGAAAAGGAGATGCCCGAGCGGCTCTGGTTCAATTTGCTAATTAAAACCTCCCTGGATTGCATTTTTCGCATTCGTGTCAGGCCGTGAAATAGATTTATGTGGTTGCTCGCCACATAGGGTTAGCATCTACCATTTGCTGCCATGGCCCACGTTACGGGTGTCTTTATTTTGACTCCAGTATTACTTGTTCCAGAACTGAAGATTGGGTATCTACTCTTGGGCCTTTGGGGACCTCGTCTAATACCCAATCTATGTTCCGTCATCACGCATACGTCCATACCCATCAGAATGAGCGGCACGCAATAAACCAATAGTGTTGTCAGAAACTGCGTCCAGCTTCATTATTAGCTCACCTGGACCACCACGTCACTGCTGACAGGTTGTCGTGTATCATATTAAATCGTCTTGTTAGCTCTGTGTTGTCGTAAGAATTGGCACCGCAATATTGAACGGGGCAAACGGGGGCAAACGGGGGCAAACTGGGGAACAAATAGACGACCCCTATGTTTCTAATGTGAGATACGATCATTCCCCAACATGCACGCCCAAAGAAGTCCTTCTTTAGGTACACTCAACTCGTTAGACTGTTATAAGTTTAGTTAGTATATGAGCACGTGTTCATATGATCTCGGGTGCATGTTCATTCGTCGAGTTCTTTGGAGTAGGGAGCGGAAAGCTGCAGAGCGGTATGCATGAAATTGGAGAGCGAAAAGTTGGGTTTGAAGCCTAATTCTCAGCATCTCAGCAGCTGCATTAATTTTGTGTGGTGTTTGGCGGTCAAAGCTGTGTACCCCAGACCGCCTCAAATGCGCAATTGGAGCTTGTACGTTTCGGGTCAGAGTATCATTGGCCATGGTCGGGTATAACGAAGCAAGTAATAATATGTCGCTACTTCAACTTCTCTATAGACACCCCTGATAAATCGACCTGGTCTGGTTGTTAACCTAGTTGATGCAACATTGCTGGACCTGCAGCGGCGACAGAAAAAAGAAAAAAAGAAATGGAAGCCGCCCCAGCCATTCGTCGGTGTATCAAGAGTGCCATTGGCGCCAAAAACAATCAGCGCGCTGCTCATAAATCTGGAGCCGTTAAGAGCGTGTCTCCCTCTTGTTGGGGATGTGATGAAATTAGAAGTCTCACTCCCAACTTGAATCCAAAACACCATAGAGTTACCTATGTATATATTCTATGGATTCTTTCACCTTCAAAATTGAGTCTTATATCCTTAATTTAATCCATAGAAAGCCAAGCCAGTCGTTCCTGAACATGGCAAAGAAGAAGAGAAGGTCGGCGCAGAAAGCCCCAGAGGCAGGGAAAGAAGCACAGCCGAATCGAATGCCAGATGGAGCTCCCAAATCAATACCTATCCCAAAGCCGGTTCCAGAACCAGTACAAGAATTGCCCTCAGAGCCAAAGCCAAAGACAGAGCCAATTCCAGAACGAGTACCGGAGCCACCATCGATACAAGTGATACCTGAACCTGAACCTGAACCTGAACCTAAACCTGGGAAGGAAGAGGAACCAGAATGGGCGCGAGATCCCGAACCCGAATGGGAACGAGAACTTGAACCAGAACTAGAACCAGTTCAAGAAGTATTACCAGAATCGCCGCAGCCAAAAATAGAGCCAGAACCAGAACTACAAGAAGAACCGGAGCCGGACCTACTGCCAGATCT